ACGAGTCTACCGCTCTTAACCACTACACCACACTGGCTCTCAGGGGGCGCTTGGACGGAGTGTGCATGTTGCGGGTGGGAGTCCAGCCCAGCTGGGTCCCTCAAAGGCCCCTGTCGCCCACTCGGTCCTCGTCTTTGCAGCAGTCTCTGCACCCGGTGCCCACCAGCCCACTGACCACGTGAAGTCCACACGGTGCCAGCTCCCAGAAAAGCTCATTTCCAAAACCCTGATGAGCTGGTACCAGTTAATGTAAGCAGTGCTGAGTGAAATGGACCTGACTCTGTAGATTTCTATTTAAATCAGCCTTTTCTTTTTCTTGGGAGGGGCGGTACCTCTGGTGGGGGACATGTCATACTCAACACCGGTCTTGAAAGACCTACACTGGCTCCCAGTACGTTTCCGAGCACAATTCAAAGTGTTGGTGCTGACCTTTAAAGCCCTAAACGGCCTCGGTCCAATATACCTGAAGGAATGTCTCCACCTCCATCATTTTGCCTGGACACTGAGGTCCAGCGCCGAGAGCCTTTTGGCGGTTCCCTCGCTGCGAGAAGCCAAGTTACAGGGAACCAGGCAGAGGGCCTTCTCGGTAGTGGCACCCACCCTGTGGAACGCCCTCCCACCAGATGTCTAAGAGAAAAATAACTACCAAACTTTTAGAAGACATCTGAAGGCAGCCCTGTTTAGGGAAGCTTTTAATGTTTAACAGGTTATTGTATTTTTGCGTTTTGTTGGAAGCTGCCCAGAGTAGCTGGGGAAACCCAGCCAGATGGCGGGGTATGAATAATGAATTATTATTATTATTATTATTATTATGGGCCAGTTTGTCCACCTTTGGTGCACTCAGCTCTCACCTGTGGCTCCCAGAGGCTGTTGGCATGCAACAGCGCCCACACCTCGGGAAATGGCTTCCACTGGTCGCCTCAACCAGGTGAGCGGAGCCAATGAACCTCAAACCCTCAGTGAGTTAGGGGCTTCCCCTGCATGCGAAGACAGGCAAATTGAGCGAACGAGAGCAACGGTGGATCCAACGGTCAAGAAAGCGGGTTTTGCACATGCTATAGAGGGAAATGAGGGGCAGATGGGGCTCGCTGACCTGGGAAAGTAGCCCATCCAGGAGAAGAAAAACTCTGATCATAAACCTCCGCTGCCTTGCGGGATATTTTTAGGAGAAGTAAAAGCTCAGGAGAAAACCCAAAACAACAACAAACCTCTGGTTCTGTGAAACATTCAATAAACACACAAGACGTAACCAGCTGTACATTTGAAAAAATAATATATACTATTCATTGTATAAAGCAGAGACATCACCTTGCCAACAAAGGTCCATATAGTTAAAGCTATGGTTTTCCCAGTAGTGATGTATGGAAGTGAGAGCTGGACCATAAAGAAGGTTGGTCACCGAAGAATTGATGCTTTTGAATTCTGGTGCTGGAGGAGACTCTTGAGAGTCCCATGGACTGCAAGAAGATCAAACCTCTCCATTCTGAAGGAAATCAGCCCTGAGTGCTCACTGGAAGGACAGATCCTGAAGCTGAGGCTCCAATACTTTGGCCACCTCATGAGAAGAGAAGACTCCCTGGAAAAGACCCTGATGTTGGGAAAGATGGAGGGCACAAGGAGATGGGGACGAATGAGGACGAGATGGTGGGACAGTGTTCTCGAAGCTACCAGCATGAGTTTGACCAAACTGCGGGAGGCGGTGGAAGACAGGAGTGGCTGGCGTGCTCTGGTCCAGGGGGTCACGAAAAGTCGGACACGACTAAACGACTAAACAACAACAACATTCATTGTATTGAATTGTAGATTTCAACAGAAGTAGCTCATAAAGTTCAACGAAAAAAGCAGAAGACCCAGTGGATCAGTTCATTCTCTAATCAGTTCATGCATACGGTCCATATATGTGTAAGTGTCTATTCCACCTGTCTGTTCATAGTGTCCAACATTCCACACGAAAGGTTGTTGCAGTTCCACAGAATCCTTTCACAGAGTCTAAGACAAGGATTTCCGGAATATTAGCCTTGTTTCGCCGTCCTGGGCTTCATCAGTAGTACAAACTCATATACGAGCTCACAGGACAGTGGATCTTATGGCATAGTAGTAGCTGCTGTCAGGAGAAAACCCTACACAAATCCAGGGTGGAGTCCCTAAGACTGTTGAGCGGCGTCTTGTACACCTCCTTTTGGCAACTCCTGCAGCCAAGCTGGTGCCCAAATGTCTTGCTCCGCTTTCCTTTGGTCCACATCCGCAAGGCTGAGAGGGGGGTCTTGTCGTCTGGGCAGCCCAGGACCTCCAGACACACTGCCCAGGCTTGTGCCTCGGGGTGGTCACTCTCGTGCTGCTAAAGCAGCAAAAACAACGCAGGAGGCAGCAGTTCTGGGTTACTGGTCTCTGCAGCCACAGCAGGCCAAGATTCTCCAGTGGTTAGACTTCACCCCTGGAGGTGCACTCCATTGTCTCTCGAGACAGACAGATGCCAACAATTATTCACAAGGACTGCAATCTTGCTGGATCTTTTAAGCAAAGGCTCATAGCACCAGAGTCTCCGTGTGACTCAGTATATAAAAGAGGCGAACTTCCGTATGTTGTTCAAGCAGTCTGTGCAAATAGCTATAGGTTTCTGTAATGCCCTGGCACCACTTTCCATAACCCAGTGCCCTCCATAGGTCTTGGAATTTGCTCCCTGTTGGCGCCAGCCAGTGCTGCTAATGGCCAGGAATTACAGGAGCTGTAGCCCCAAACATCTGGAAACATCTGGGGAAGGGTGCCCTAGATCTCTCTCGCGTGCACCCTCCCTGCCTTCTTTAAAATAAATTGCCACTTGAGAGTTTTTACAGGGCTGCCCTCGGGAACAAATGTTGACAAATGTTGGCATGTCTAGCTTGGAAACCTGAGGCTTAATTCCACCTTAAACCCAGGGTTGCGTTGTTCTGCCTGGAGCCGCAAGGTAGCACCCAATTTCTCTCTCCTCCCACGGATATTGGGTCCCGTCGGCCTACCTTGCAGGCTCGTTGTAAGACTTCAGCAACTGATGCACAGAAGTGGTTTGAATTCTCCAAAGCCAGGGGATGGGGGAATATTGCGGCCCTCCAGATGTTGCTAGGTATTTTTAAAAATAAATTTATATCCAGCCCCCTCCTCCCAAAGGAGCCCGTTCCTGACCACTAGGCATGCTGGCTAGGAGTTGCTATCACTACCCGGAGGAGTCCCCTGTCCCTCCTCTAAAACATTAGCTATAAATGGCAAGTGGCTTTGAGGAGAGAAGAGGAGGCCTGTTCTTCAAAGGTCCACCGAGTCCAACATTCTGCTTCCAACTCAACATGGAAGTCACACCGTTGGTCCATCTATTTTTTTTATATACATTTTTATTAATTTTAACATACAAATTATAAAACGTACCACACAAATTATTACAAATACACTTTTTTTGGACTTCCATCAGCACCTCCGATGATCTTCCGTCCTAACCTCTTTTTATGCATTACTTAATTTTATATTGTCTTTACCTCTCTTAACTTATCATCTCCCCTTTTCCATTTTTACAATATTGCCAACAATACTCCTCACAGAACTTCTTGCAAACCTACAAACGTCGTCTGATCATCACAAATACTTTTCATCTAGTTCGTAAATTTACTCCAGTCTTTGGTAAAATTCTGGTCCCGCCGGTTTCGAATCCTTCCTGTTAATTTGTCTAACTCTGCATAGTCCACACCATTGGTCCATCGAGCTCAGTATTGTCTACACGGACTGGCAGCAGCTCTCTGAGATTTCAGATGGGGTCTCTCCCAACCCTACTGGGAGATGCTGGCATTGAACCTGAAACCTTCTGCATGGAAGGCGGATGCCCTACCAATGAGTGACAGTCCTTCCTCTAAAGAGCAAATTCCAGGGTCTCATGGCTGTTATGAAAGCTGCTTTAAATGGGAGCCTAAAGAAGTTGCATTTTGGTCCATTTAAGCTCAGTATTGCCGACACAACCTTGCCAACAAAGGTCCGTATAATTAAAGCTCTGGTTTTCCCAGTAGTGATGTATGGAAGTGAGAGCTGGACCATAAAGAAGGCTGATCGCCGAAGAATTGATGCTTTTGAATTATGGTGCTGGAGGAGACTCTTGAGAGTCCCATGGACTGCAAGAAGATCAACCCTATCCATTCTGAAGGAAATCAGCCCTGAGTGCTCACTGGAAGGACAGATCCTGAAGCTGAGGCTCCAATACTTTGGCCACCTCATGAGAAGAGTAGACTCCCTGGAAAAGACCCTGATGTTGAGAAAGATGGAGGGCACAAGGAGAAGGGGACGACAGAGGACGAGATGGTTGGACAGTGTCCTCGAAGCTACCAGCATGAGTTTGACCAAACTGTGGGAGGCAGTGGAAGACAGAATTGCCTGGCGTGCAATTGCCTGGCGTGGGGTCTCTCAGTCAAACCTGGAGCTTAAACCTGCGACCTTCAGCAGTAGAAAGCTCACCAGTAGTAAGTGAAGGCACCCCTGCTCCCCTCTGATCCGTGGAGGTAGACTGCCCCTGAGGCGAGAGGCTCCATTTAGCCATCATTTAGCCCAACTGGCGCTAGACGGACCTCCATGAAATCTATCCGACACGTGTGTTTGATGGTCTCTGGCGGATGATGCTCCGCGTCCAAAAACCGGAGTAAGGGAACCCCGACGGATCCCACCACAACACCGGGCAGCTTGTGGCATGGAAAGCTCTCCTCGGCCGTGCGCCTTGCCCACTGACTTACGCGCGCGCGCGGGGGGGTCCTGGAGAGGCTCCCCTCTGCCTGATCAGCCCTCCAAAAGGAGCCCCGACGGCCAGCCCTCCCGGCTCGCCTTCCCCAGCAGCCACTGCTATGGAGAGGCCCCTTTCTTCCCCGAGCCCGGACGGCTTCCAGCTCCGCCTGGCCTGCTTCCTGGCTCTCTCCTCGAGCTGCTTCCACCTCCGGCCGCCGAGGGCGCCTGGTGAGGGGCGGCTGGCGCCCCTCCTTCCCTGGGCCTCGCAGCGGAGGCGGGGCTGGCTGGCTGGCGGCAGAGGCTCCTTCGGCGGTCCGCCCTGGCCCGCCTCCTCCTTCCTCCTCCCGCCGCTCTCCCTCTTCTAGCTCCAGCCATCGCAGCCGCCGCGCCGTCCTCCCCGTCGTCTCCATCCTCCTCCGGCGCGCCACGATGTGGCTCACCTCGGCGCTGGCGCTGGCCGCCGCCGGCTTGCTGGGGCTGCTGCTGGCCGTGCTGCCCGGCCGTCTGCGGCCGCTCGCCTTGGCCGACTTGGCCTTCCTGGTGCGCGCCTGGCGCTGCCGCCGACGGCTCCTGCACGGCAAGGCGGGCGCGCTCAGCCTGGCGCAGCGCTTCGGGCGCCTGTGCCGAGCGCGGCCCCAGCGCGTCTTCCTGCGCTTCGAGGAGCGCAGCTTCACCTACGGCCAAGCCGAGCGCCAGAGCAACCGCGTGGCCAACGCGCTGCTCCGCTTGCCCGACGGGCAGCCGCCGCTCCTGCCCGGCCAGACGGTGGCGCTCTTGGTGGGCAACGAACCCACCTTCATCTGGGCCTGGATCGGCTTGGCCAAGCTGGGCGTCGTGCCGGCTTTCCTGGGCACCGCGCTCCGCCGAGGGGCGCTGCTCCACTGCGTGCGCACTTGCGGCGCCAGGGCGGTCCTGGTGGCGCACGGTGAGTTGCATACCCCCCCACTCCCCACCCCGTCGCGATTTGTTCTTTCGGGTCTGTAAAAGGGACTTGGCGAACTTTGGGGGTCTGCAGAGGCTGAGATCCAAGGCTCGCGTTACTTGGGAGTAAACCCCTATTAGGGAACGTAGGGAGGGCTAAGTACTCTCTTCCCAAAACAGACCGCTGCTCCGTGGGAAGGTAGGAAGCTGCCTTAGACTGAATCAGACCCATTGTGGTCTATCTAGCTCAGTACTGTAGACACGGACTGGCAGCAGCTTTCAGGCTGTCGTCTCAAGGGGGGTTCAAGGGGAGGGAGTGATTCCCCTGGAGATGCTGGGAATTGAATTCAGGATCATTCTGCATGCAGGGCAGATGACCCACCATTGTGCAGCGCCCCTTCCTCATTGAGAATAGCAGGATCGACTTCTCTGCATGTTTGTGCAGGGTCACGCTAAACATGGGCTTGCTTGCCTGTTAGTGGGTTTTAACCTGGTTTCGGGCTATCTATTGGTTGTGTCTCCTGGTTCAAAGCCCCCTGTAGCAACCAGAGGTGCGGTGGGCAGCTACTTCCAGGGGCAAATCCTTATTATTTACCTATTCAATTTCTATTCCACCCTTCATTCAAAGATCGCAGGGCGGTTCACAACATAGCAATACAAAAACGTTTAAATCCTCTGTTTCTGTGTTTGGAATGTCTGAAGTGTTCCAGTCGCTGTTGGATGGTTTCTTTAAATTTTAGGTTTCGTTATTGTTCCACAAGTATGTCTTTAAGGGCCAGAGCAAATAACATGACCCGGTTTTACAGCTGTGAAGCAGCATAGCAGGTGCTGTTAAGTTGGGTTAATGAAGCTGTTGGGTATAGTATATAAAGAGCAGCATATAACTCTCTCAGTACCCTGGTGGATGGGTCACACTTATTGATATAATGTAATTTAGTGTAAAAGGAGTTTTTGTTATTTGTTATTAAACCAAGCAAAAGTTACTTTTGCGTTTCTTGAATGTGTGGTCTCCCCTGCACGCTTTCTGCAGCCCAACTAATCTGCGAAAAAGCCAACAGTCGCATCGGTTTCAGAATTGCACACATACACACTGAAAGGAAATGAGCCCAGAGCAGCTACTCTTACAGAGACGTGGCAGGCACCCTCTTTGGAGAACAAGTACTCTTTTTTCGCTCTTGCCTTAAGAACGAGAGAATATTCTAACTGTGTGTACAGAGAGAGCGCAATTACCTCCTGTTTTTCTCCTCTACCCTGGTAGAGGCTGTTTGGAAGAAGGTGAGCAGCAACTCAAACAGAGATAGGATAGTCAGCCTCCTCTGACAGCAGGCCATTGTGCTGCGTCTCTGAATTTGGAATGGCTGGACCGCTGCAGAGATGTGGTAGCTTTAGCTGTCCCTGATAGGACCTGATTGCAAGGAGGCGAGCCCAGCACAGGGACTCAAGCAGAGCTGCAACAGGCAGCCTCATCGTGGCTGTTTCACCGGTCTTTCCATTGCTAAGGGTGATAGAATGTGCTGATTATTCAGGAATACAGCCAAATCAGTCCTGGGCGGCTGTGTCACCTCTACGCCCCCAACCCAGGGCGCAATGCAACCAGTTTGGCGACATTCTGCCCCATAGCAAGGAGAATTTGTCACTCTTTGCTTTTCTGTAGGGTGCTGGGTGCGTTGCTCTCTTCTCTAATGCTAGCATGTTGAATGGAAAAAAAAGAGTCAGTAATTATATGTGATCCCTGATTGGCTGGGATATGTGTCTAGGAGAGGGGCAGAGAACCTGTGGCCTCCCAGATGTTGCTGGACTCCAACTCCCATCATGCTTGATAGTTGGCCATGATGGCTGATGGGACTTGGAGTCCCAACAGCCCTTGGAGGGCCACAGGTCCCCCATATCAGGTCCTACTGAGGGCCTTCTTGGTAGTGGCACCCACCCTTTTGAATGCCCTCCCATCTGATGTCAAGCAGATAAGCAACAATACAGTGGAACCTTGGTTCTCAAACAGCTTAGTTGACCTACAAATCGGCTCCCGAAAACACGAAGAAAGTGTTCTAGTTTTCGAAAGTTTTTTGGAAGCCAAACGTCCGATGCGTCTTGGTTTTCGAACGGTTTTGGGATTTGGACGGACTCCAGGAACAGATTACGTTCGAGAACCAAGGTTCCAGTGTACAACCTTTAGATGACATCTGAAGGCAGCCCTGTATATCGAAGTTTTTAAACGTTTAACGTTTTATTATGATTTTATATGTGTTGGAAGCCACCCAGTGTGGCTGGGGCAACACAGTCAGATGGGCAGGGTACAAATAAAATCATTACTTATAAAGGTAATGATAATGATAATAATATCTGCTTTAGGAGATGGGTCTCCTTCTTTTTTATTGCACGCAAACAGTGGGCACATTTAGTGATTATTTCTGATCATCCGCTAAGAAAATATAAACATTCCCTACAGGATGGTTAGCTAAAGAGAACTTCCAGATGCTGAGGGTGTCTAACTTAGAATAGCAGTTGTTGGCCGTGCCTTAGTGCCCTTCCCATTAGGGCATCTGGCTGATAACTGGGTGAGACAAGAGGCTGGACTGGGCAAGGCACAAACAGCCATCGCCATTAGGAATGGAGCCTCCCTGTTCAGACCCAGTTTATCTCTGAATGCCAGACACCAGGAACACACAACAAGCGAGGGCTGTGCTTCTAGGCTTCCTGGCTGCTGCTCACTGTTGGAGACAGGAGGCTGGTCTTTGCTCTGATCCAGGGAGGCATCACTGATAATGGATTAGATACGAGCAGCTAGCCATCATGATAGCTGAGAAGAGTGGAGCCTCCAGAGGCAGTGTACCTTTGAGTCCAGACACTGGAGGGCAGAGAGCAGGGAAGGATATTATTATTATTATTATTATTATTATTATTATATTGTAATTATCATTATAATTATTTTTTACCCTTTATCCCAGGGCAGGTTGCATCAACGAGAGTGGTGCAGTTCCAAATAAATTTGGGTTAATTTGCAGCTTTAAAGGCAGGGCCACAATAAATACCTTTCAGCTATCAAAACGCCTCCACGCCCTGTTTGTGGGGTTCCTTGGAGCCTCTGGCCAGGGATTTGGGGGGCGGGGGGAGGAACAGGATGCAAGACGCCACGGACTTTTTATTTTTATCTAGCAGGGCTCTTTATTTACAGTGTTGGTCTCTTCCGAGAGCAGCTTGCAAAAGTCAGCGATAAGAACGTTCCGGCCCTCGGGTTTCCACACCAAGAGCCACGGCACAAAAGGAAAACGGGTTTGGGAGGGGGAAGGAAAAAAGAAATCTCAGACCCAGTTTGATTTGGTTGGAATTAATTTTATAATGAAATGATTTTAGAATGTTTTATCGTTTTACTGTTGTTAGCTGCTCTGAGCCCGGGTTCGGCTGGGGAGGGTGGGATATAAATAAAATTTTTTATTATTATTATTAGCTGTGGAGTTCTTGTCAATAATAGCTGAAAGGGGGAAGAAAAAAGATTTCAAGGAGAGGAGGAGCCAAAGGTTGCTGGTCTTTTGGCAGAGGCCCTGCGGTCCAGTCTCTTCCTCTCCTATATAGCCTGATGGAATGGCTGCTGATCCGAGTTGAGGGGCACAGCCTGATGGAAATAATCGCTTAACCCTAACCCTCCCAAGGGCTGTTTCCCAACTAAGTTCTACTCGGATTCAACCCGCTGAATTCATCCAAGTCAGGCATATTGATTAATTTCAGTGGGTCGACTCTGAGATTGGATTATATGTGCATAAAATTGGATTACACATAGAGATATACATACTGCTAGGGGGTGGCCAACTCCCGAGAGACTGCGATCTACTCACAGAATTAAAAACTGGCAGTGATCTACTCCCCTTTTTGAGGGGTTCAGGTCACAGTTTCTGAGGTTTTTTTTAGGGAGGAGAAAAGCCCTGATTTTTGAGAATTCAAAGGAGAAAGGGGAACATCCACTCATCAACAGATCGCTGCGGAAACTCACAGCCTCGGTGAGTTAACTCCATCGTCAAACAATGGAGGGCGGGGCAAGGGGGCAGGCTGGATTCTATTTTATTAACGCTAAGGAAAGAGACCCAGCAATCGACCGCGATCTACCAAAACCTCCCGGGGATCAAACAGTAGATCGCAATTGACCTGTTGAACATCCCTGTGCTAGATAAATAGATATGGCTATAGGAGCCGCTACTCCTAAATTTTTTTTAAGTGGCCTTAAAACTCTGGAAGGTTTCCCGCGCCTGTAAATTTCATCCGCTTTGGCCCAAAATAACAGCTTTTACACTACCCGAAATTCTGAATGGGGACTCCAGAGTTTTATACAGAGGGTCATTCTCCAGTTAACTTCTGCTCAGAGCAAGCCCATTTAAATGAATTCATCTAAGTTAGTCCTGTCCATTAATTGTAACGGTTCTACTCTGAGTAGGGCTAATGTTGGATGCAACAACAACAGATGTTGTTGGACTGGTTTCTTTGTAGCTGACGCCGGTTGTGAAGTTGTTCACCATAGTTCCTTCTGTAACAATTACAGAGTTAAGAGGGACAGTTAGCCTCCCACCCCCCCTTTTCGTATCTGCACATGGGGAAATTCTCTGTTCCAAGATGTGTCTCCAGGCTCATAGCAAATACATTTCCTTAACTTAAACACCACAGAAAAGAAGATAAAATGAGGTTACAGCATAAAAACTTTGCAAAGTGCTAGCTTTGCAAATCTAAAATGTTGATATGGTGTTTTTGACCTATAATCAGCTGGTATTGATTATTGATGCGGTGCTGAGAAACCCTAATCAAATCATAATTAGCTGAATCAGCAAGGCTAGAGTTTGGTAGCAGACCAAAGGTCATATGTATCTCCAAACTGGGGGGAGATGCTCAAGAAACTAATGTTTATATCCATTTTTGAAAGGGATAGGTTAGAATTCAATGATCAAACAAGACTATGTCCCACAAAATATTCAGTTTCATGTAGGGACTTGATAAATCATACACCCCAGATGCATCAATGCCTGCCATAATTAAATAATTTTAATAAAACCACATCAATTACAAACAATTGCCTTAAAAATAAGAAGTGTATTTGGATAGAAGTTGCACAGGCCTAAATTATATGAGAATGTGTTTGGCTTGCATCTGAACATACGTAAAGCATCCATGTTAAAAATAGCCTCCGCTGTGAACACGGCTTGCTTAACAAGAAGGGACTGATTGAGTCAGGCCAACTCAAGGTTTTCTTTTTATAATGGGAGAGATAAAGGTATCGGTTCGAGATAGGGAGTGGGGAGTTGTGGCCTTCCAGTGTGGTATTCAAGTTTGGCCTGTCTCCGAAGGACGTTGCCATCATAAAAAGATGCCTTTTATTCCCATTTTAATAAATGGGCTGTGTTGGAGTAAGGCAAATCGGCTTATGGGGCCTGTTTCGGTGTGTCTGAAACGGAGCAGAATGGGTGCAGAAGGGAGAATATTTGCCACAGATGCTGCTGGGATCACAAGTTGCTTTTGAACTCGGGTCCTGCTACGGGTTTCCCATTAGGGCACCCGGTCGGCCACTGTGAAAACAGGATAATAGAATCATAAGAGGCGGAAGGGACCCCGAGGGTCATCTAGTCCAACCCCCTGTAATGCAGGAATCTTTTGCCCAACGTGGGGCTCAAACCAACAACCCTGAGATTAAGAGTTGTGCTCTACCGACTGAGCTATGTTGCAGGTATTTTGTGGTTTTAGATCTTGATTTTATTCTGTGAACCGCCATGAGTCGCCCAGGTACAGGACGCTGTATAAATTCAAGAAACAACAACAACGACTGGATAGGCCCCCTTTGGCCGGCTCCAGCAGACTCTTCTGAAGGTGCCGGAAACCACCTCAGGGTGGCTTTCAAAGACGACTAGTCAAATTCATGGAAGGGAGGCCTCGCCGGAGGCAAAATGGCTGCCTAGAACCTCCAGCTTCAGAGCAAGTCTACCTCAGTATGAGTGGCTGGGGGCCGCAGGTGGGGAGATTTACTGTTGCGCTCAGGTCTTCCTTGTGGACTTGCCAGAAGGAGAGCAGGATGGGTCCTGTTTGGCCGGATCCTGCAGCCTGCTCTTTTGCATGCTTCAGATGCGCTCTCGAGGGATAATAAGGGGATTCAACAACAACAACAAACCACTTCCTCCTTTGTCGGTCCTCCTGCAGCGTGAGAAGACTCCCAAGGCTGCTTTTTGAACCACTAATTAATACCCCAACCTGAACCAAAGCCTGCTTCCCACATCGCAGGGAACTGGGAGGCCTTTGTGGGGATTAACGCATCGCTGCTGCTGCTGCCTGCCGGGTTGATTCAATTTGCGGAGGGCTGTCGTCATCTTTGGGGTGGGGGCAGGGGCGGCAGCGGAGACAAAAGGCCGGAGAATGGACCTTCCCCGTGCGTGACTAATGGCTGCGTTCTCCGGCTAGCGAGGGAGGTGGGAGTGGGATCGCGGAAGCCAGCCCAGATTGCCCTCGCTCTCAGTGGGGAAACTGAGGTTAGCTGGCCGTATAGAACGCTGGCTTCTGCTGAGCCAGACTTTTGATCCGGCTAGCTCAATATAGCCTGCACTGATTGGCAGCGGCTCTGCAGGCAGGAGACACCAATGCTACTTGGAGATGGTGGGAATCGAACGTGGGACCTTGGGCATGCGAATCTGGTGCTCTTTTTAATAATAATAATAATAATAATAATAATTTTTTATTTATACCCCACACTCCCCAGCCAAGGCCGGGCTCAGGGCGGCTAACAAGCAATAATAAAAACAAGTTGAATGAAAAACATGATTAAAATACAACAATTAAAATATTGAAACATTAAAATATTAAAATGCAGCCTCATCACAGGAGGAGAAAGGAAAAAGAAAAAAGAAAGAGGGGGAGGGAATCAAATTGATTCCAAGCCAAAGGCCAGGCGGAACAACTCTGTCTTACAGGCCCTGCGGAATGAAATCCGATCCTGCAGGGCCCTGGTCTCATGAGACAGAGCGTTCCACCAGGCCGGAGCCAGTGTTGAAAAGGCCCTGGCTTTGGTTGAAGCCAGTCTAACTTCCTTAGGGCCTGGGACCACTAGGGTGTTGTTATTTATGGACCTTGAGGCTCTCCGTGGGGCATACCAGGAGAGGCAGTCCCGTAGGTACGAGGGTCCTAGGCCGTGAAGGGCTTGAAAGGTCAAAACCAGCACCTTGAACCTGACCCTGTACTCCACCGGGAGCCAGTGCAGCTGGAAAAGCACTGGGTGAATATGCTCCCATGGCAGAGACCCCGTGAGGAGCCTCGCTGCTGCATTCTGCACCCGCTGGAGTTTCTGGGACGGCTTCAAGGGCAGCCCCGCGTAGAGCGAATTACAGTAGTCAAGCCTGGAGGTGACCGTCGCGTGGATCACTGTGGCCAGGTGATAAATAAATAAATATTAAAGATAAAAACAGCTACACGCAATCGGAGAGTCCTCTCCGAATGCACTGCAGAACCTCGTCGGAAGTGTATATGCTGAAATCATCACAATCTTAACAAACACGAAAGGATGCCCGATAATCTCTATCGCTTGGACTGTTTTCCTCAAATGAAAAGATATATTGTATCCGCAGCGGCGATGCTCTACAGGGTTTATACAAAGGCAGGAGGGAAGAACAACAAATACTAATTGAAATGTGTGCTTTACGCATGCCAAACTCTGCTGTAGACCATAGGCACCGTTCTGCCATATGCCTCATTATTTGTATAATCTATAAAGTCGCCCCAGACTTCCCTAAAAGTTACCATATTTTCCCCGTCCTCTTGCTACCTGCAATTTCCATGTCGGTTTCCCCAACAATGGTTATGGTAAAGTCGTGGGGTTTAAACTGAATTTAAACAAGACAAAACTATTAGTTAAAAATCTGTTGCCAGATGAAAAAATAATACAAATTAAAATCTACCCCAAAATTACGTAAGTATTTAGGAGTATGGATAACACCAAAGAATATTAACTTATATGAAGATAATTATACCAATTGTTGGAAAGATATCAAAAGACAGTTGGAGACATGGACTAGGTTAAATTTATCATTCTTGGGCCGTATTTCGGTAATTAAAATGATGGTTTTACCGAAGCTACTCTTTCTATTCCAAACAATTCCAATTATAAGAAAGACCAGCTGTATTGATAAGTGGCAAAAAGAAATTTCTAAATTTTTGTGGAAGGGTAAAAAACCAAGAGTAAAGCATAAGATATTAATAGATATTGTAGAAAGAGGTGGCTACAGGTTATATTACGAAGCCTCATGTCTTCTCTGGTTGAAAGATTGGTGTACATTAAAAAATTGGGATATTTTAGATCTAGAAGGTCATGATACCCGGGAAAATAAAGGCGCATAAGAGCTTTTCAAATCAATAATTGCAGTTATTCCCATGCCCTGGCAATGGTCTTTCTTGTTGCAGTTAACAGATGGGGTACGAGTTCTTTGTTTCTAATTTATGGCATATCCTGACAAGGCTGGGTGATTATATCGTCCAAAGCTGGTTTGCAAGCCATAACATGATACCAGTTTCATCATTTTTGCCCTGGCAAATTATCATAAATCATATGTGTTTGTGTGCTATGCAAAAATCACGATGCGGGGAAAACCGTGAAGCCAGCCAATGCCTAGCTCCATCCTTATTTCAGACATTGTGATATATCAGTATATCGCAATGTTTGGCTGGTGATATATCACAATGTTGAGAACCAGATATGGCCCAACCCTAATCCTGACTATACAAGTTAAGCAAAGCCAGTCATTGGTACTGTCTGCCTTGTGATCAAAGAGATCTCTATAAAAACATTTCCCCAGAACATTCCTGTTTTTGGACACTTCCACCACATGTGTCGATATGTCCCTATAGAGAGACAACCTCTCCAACACAAAGGAGAACTGTTTGGGTCTATATAGACTAGGCGTCAAGGTGTTAACTACCAACCATGTATGATTTTAAGGGCTCTTTCTCTGTCTGTTGCCGATATGGATTTATGCGTTGCATTTGTCCACAGTCTTTCCATGCCTCTTCTTCAATTTCTAAATCCCAATTCAATCCTCACCATTTTCTCAAAGCAAATCAGGTGCTCTTATTACTGAGCTATGGCCTACCCTTAAAAATAATTGTTAAGATTCCAGTCCTCATGATATGAGTAAATAGGAACATATAGGAAGCTGCCATATCGTGAGCCAGACTTTTGGTCCAGCTTATCCAATGTTGTCTACACTGACTGGCAGCATCTCTCCAGCGTTTCATCCTATTTCTTTGTATTATCCAGGAGTTAGCAGCCAACTCAGGAGTTCATGAGCCACAGCCGGTCCTTTTCATCCCGGGCTGTGTCTACCATTTTAAATAATACCATTTTAAAACAGCCATGGCTCCCCCACCCTCAATAATTCTGAGAAGTATAGTTTGTGAGGGGTGCTGAGAGTTGTGAGAGACACCCCCCGCCTTCTCCCCACAGAGCAACAGTTTCCTGAGGGGTTTCACAACCAGCCCCTCTTCCCAGGGAACTCTGGGAGTTGTAGTTCCATGAGGGGAACTGGAGAGTCTCCTAACACCACTCAGCACCCATAACAAACTATAGCTCCCAGAATTATTATTATTTTTTGGGGGGGGGGAGCCAGGAGTGTTTAAAGTGGTATCGTAGCGCCTAAATGTGCGTATGGAGGAGGTTGCAGCCTTGCTGAGTTAGGCGATTCCTGGTCAGCCCACATTGTATACTGACGCTTACTTCCATCTTTCCGTCTCTCTGTCTCTTTGCAGAGCTTTTTGAAGCTGTGGAGCCCATCCTTTCCAGCTTGGAGGAAATGGGCGTGGCGGTCTGGGTATTGGGGAAGGGGCCCTATCCTCCCCACGTGACTGGGCTCCAGGATCTGTTGGAGAAAGCGTCTGAGGAGCCCGTCCCCTTTGAACTCTCCACTCCTGGCAGCTTGTCGGATACCTGCCTCTACATCTTCACCTCGGGGACCACAGGTATAGTGGGCAGTTTGTACAGGTAGCAGAAACCTAGGCTATTCCACCTCCGGTGTAGCGGTCAAAGTGTCAGGCCAGGACCTGGGAGAGGCCAGGGTTTGAATCCACCGCTCGGCCGTGAAGCTCACCGGGTGTGGCCTGGGTCCAGTCATGGCCTCTCAGCCCAACCAACCTCACAGGTTAATTAACCAACCTATAATAAGATGTCAAGGAAATAAGCAACTATCTGACTTTTAGAAAACATCTGAAGGCAGCCCTGTTTAGGGAAATTTTTAATGTTTGATGTTTTATGTTTATTTATATATATTTAGGAAGCCGCCCAGGGTGGCTGGGGAAACCCAGCCAGATGGGCGGGGTATTAATAATAATAATAATAATAATTATTATTATTATTATTATTATTATTATTATTGGAATTCAGGAAGGGAAGACCCAAGTACCTTGAGCTCCTTGGAGAAAACGGGGATATCAACACAATAAGTAAATACCGTATGTTTTGCTCTATAAGACTCACTTTTTCCCTCCTAAAAAGTAAGGGGAAATGTGTGTGCGTCTTATGGAGCGAATGCAGGCTGCGCAGCTATCCCAGAAGCCAGAACAGCAAGAGGGATTGCTGCTTTCACTGCGCAGCGATCCCTCTTGCTGTTCTGGCTTCTGAGATTCAGAATATTTTTTTTCTTGTTTTCCTCCTCCAAAAACTAGGTGCGTCTTGTGGTCTGGTGCGTCTTATAGAGCGAAAAATACGGTAGTAATCAGTGCATTTGCCTGTAAGGAATTTATTCCCCATCTATCCAGTGGAGAAGTGCTGAAACTAATGGTGTCTCCAGCCCCAAACACACACAAGCAGAAGTGGTGCAGTCCGGAAATTTAAGTGCCGGACTGTACCACTTCGGTCTGCCTAGCTCAGTATTGTCTATTCTGACTGGCCACAGCCGTCTGGGATTTCAGATATGGAACAGTCCCAACTCTACTTGCAGATGACGGGGATCAATCCTGGAACCTTTGGAATGCAAAGCAAATGCTTCCTCCAGCAGCCGATTCATTTGCTTCTGTACTAACAGCGAACTTCTTCTCATATGGATGAGAAGGCAGAACAGCACCATCCATCAGGATAAGCAGGAGGTCCCAGCCGGTTTGAGGGAACCCCAAGGTTTGCAGAATTACGCCCACCAGATAAATGGGGAAATCCCAATGGGGACAGAGCGTGCTTATTGGCCACGGAATGCTGCCTGGATGTCAGAGAAAAGAGGGAATCAGGGTAGCAGGGTCATGGAAGGGAGCATCCGGCAAAAGGGTAGTCTGTCTGCCTTGGAGCACTGACCAGGAACATGTTACACTGCAACATTTCATTGCAGTATCCCAGTTATAACATACTTATCCAAGTATGCAAAAGAGGACCACTACACCAAAGAACGACGACAGCAACAACAACAGTTACAATGTGGAACTTCTGGAGCTTCTGCTTCTGAAATACAGGCAACGCTCGTTCTGAGGATAGTGCCTAAATCCAAAATCCCATATAGTCAAAGCACATAGGGTTCAGTGGTGGGTGGGATTGCCAAAGTCTCCCCCAGCCGCCATATGTCCACCCCCTTTCTAATTTTTTAAAAATTGCCAAGCATGTATAAAGCTGAATGTGTGCAAGTTAAATGCATGTAAGTTGTAAGTTACCTGTAATTGAAGAAAATGTTGACCGCCGAAAGGAAAAAATGGAAAATCAAGGGGAGGAGGGTTGTGGAAGGGAATATTCAGCAAAAGGGAGTGGCTGACCAGGAACATTTCACGCTGCAACACTTATTATAACATACTTATCCAGGTATGCAAAAGAGGATCACCCCAATAATAATAATAACAGTGATAGCAATAATGATAATAATAATAATAATAAGGTACAGTAGTACCTCGATTTATGCACTTAATCTGTTCTGGAAGTCCGTTCTTAAACCAAAGCCGTTCTTAAAACCGAGGCGCACTTTCCCTAATGAGGCCTCCTGCCACCAGTGCCCTTCCACCGTTCAGCTTCCGTTCGTAGACCGAGGTAAAGTTTGCAAACCAGGACACTACTTCCAGTTTTGCGGAGTTCGTAAACGGAATAGTTTGTAAACAGTACTGTCCTTAAACCGAGGTAGCGCTGTACTTCTGAAATGTCTGGTTCTGAAATATTGGAGTGGGGGGCAGAATTGACAAAAAGGGAGAGGGAACAGCTCACCTCTTCCTTCCTTCCCTCCTCTCTGTTCCAGGACTCCCCAAGGCTGCTCGCATCAGTCACCTCAAATCCATCATGTGCTTGGGCTTCTACCAGCTGGTGGGGGCATCCCGTTCGGACGTGATCTACGTGGCCTTGCCCCTCTACCACATGGCAGGGAGTCTTCTGGGGGTCATCGGCACTCTTGGCCTTGGTAGGTTCAGGGGCTTGGTGGAGCGGAGCCCATGGAGTGGCTTTTGTTTTTTCTTTGGGTGGGAGGAAACTGGCTTGTGGTTGCAAATGCCGGGTCATTAAGTTTGCAGAGGATACAACAGTGGTTGGTTTAATCACAGCTGGAGAGGGGGAGGCGACCTATAGGAAGGAAGTTGAGCAGTTGGGGGAGTGGTGCAGGAAAAACAACTTACTCCTTAAGTTAAAGAAAACAAAAGAGATTATTGTGGACTTGTAAATTGAATATTCAGCCACTTAATATTGAGGGGAAGTGCATGGAACAGGTCTCAGTGTTTCGATTTCTGGGAATGGAGTTGAGAGATGACCTAACCTGGGGAGAAAACAGCAAAGACCTGATGAAGAGAGCACAGCAGAGGTTATATTTTCTGAGAATCCTCCAGAAAAACAATCTCTCAAAGGACCTGTTGATGGCATTTTACCATTGTACTGTGGAGAGTGTATTAACCTACAGTCTGTGTGTGTGGTTTGGGAGCTGCACAGTCAGGGAAAAAACAATGCCGTCCAGGGTTGTAAAGACTGTGGACAGAATAATTGGGTGCACTCTTCCCACCTTGAATCAAATCTATGCTTCCAGGTGTCAAAGGAAAGCTGCAGAGATAGTGCAGGATAGTGCGCACCCCAGAAATGACCTCTTTCAGCTTCTGCCTTCTAGAAGAAGGTACAGGGTTATAAAGGCTAGGAATAGCCACCTGAAAAACAGTTTCTACCCAAATGCGATGTTGATTTTAAACACAGTGTAAGGTAGTCTCTAGGGACGCGGGTGGCACTGTGGGTTAAACCACAGAGCCTAGGACTTGCCGATCAGAAGGTCAGCGGTTCGAATCCCTGCGACAGGGTGAGCTCCCGTTGCTCGGTCCCTGCTCTTGCCAACCTAGCAGTTTGAAAGCATGTCAAAGTGCAAGTAGATAAATAGGTACCACTCCGGCGGGAAGGTAAACGGCGTTTCCGTGCGCTGCTCTGGTTTGCCAGAAGCGGCTTAGTCTTGCTGGCCACATGACCCGGAAGCTGTACGCCGGCTCCCTTGGCCAATAAAGCGAGATGAGCGCCGCAACCCCAGAGTCAGCCACGACTGGACCTAATGGTCAGGGGTCTCTTTACCTTTAAGGTAGTCTCTATGGGAGTATATTGCATTTAATTATGGGGTATCAGAGTTTCTAGGGGGCTAACCAGGCTGGGATAGCTGGGATAGCAGTCCCCAGTCACCTCTCCAGCCCCTCCAGCGGTTGTAGAGCTGGGCAAGTCCCCTTTAAAAACAAACAAATTGTTAGTTCCTCCAAGAAGATGCACCCACGGGGTGCTGTAGTGAGCCCAGCATTTAACTGGGATCTAACTGGGATTTGTCTGACCTCCAGGCGAACTGCTGTGTTGGACACACAGGAAGGAATCCCCCAGCGGAAAATGAAAGAATTTGTAGAATTCCAAAAGGTGCAGCGTTATGATAATTTCACACCTGGGAGCCTTTTGTGATAAAACCTTTGCTACAAATACCTGGATGGCTGTTGGAATATATTGACCTCCTTCCCCATAACAGAACCTTGTGATTGCTTTGATGGTCCTTTGAGGATTTGCAGCTGCAGTTATAATCTGATTATTCCACGAACCCTTTTCGTTAAAAATTATGTCCAGATTTTTTTTTTTTAAAAAAGTTACCTGTTCAGTGGGCTGCTTGTCAACCTGCCGTTTATCTCTCTCTCTCTTTTCTTAGAAAACACCATTACTTTGGATTTTGTATAGTTAACTATTACTTGTTCAGTTTTTGCAGTAGGCTGCTGAAGTTCTTAATAATTACTGTAGTCCCACACAGGAGAGAGAAATTAAAACTGCATCGTCAGAATAGAGAAGGACCGGAAGGGACATATTTACCAATTTTGGCAGATGGACTTTCAGTTAGGGAGTTAATATAAAAGTTAAATAAAATGGAGTGCAAGGATGCAGCCTTGCTTCATTCCAGTGTGGGTCTGGTTTTCTTTAGTTAAATGCCCCTGCCGATCACATCTGATCTGAAGTTGTGTGTTTTCATGCAAACTACGAATAAGAATCAAGATGCGCCTGTCTATATTTGTGTCACTTAGGTTTTTCCAAAGCCTTTCTCAGGTATAAGATCAAAGGCAGACTTAAAATCTATAAAATCTGCATAAAGAGACCCTCCTTTTGTTGAGGCATACTTTTCCACGAGATGTTGGAGCACCAGTCCGTGATCTGTGGTTGACCCTTGGGCTCTGGAGAGTGAGACACATAGACTCGGGGAGCTGTCCGTGGTCCTGACCTCCCTCGCCTCTGCGGAAAGTCTTTTCTTTTTAGTTTGTAAATTTTAATTGGAAATTTTATTTACAACATAACATAAACCCCCCCACCCCCAATACAGAAATCCACCCTCATTAAACACGAATATAACATACAATAAGCATAACATACAATAATACAAACAACCAAATAAAAGACTTCCTTTTTTACTTCTTATTTACTTCTTATAAGCTGTTTCCTTTATGAATAATTATTAAGATTTTTCTAATTATAACTTAAATATCCACAAAGTCTCCTGCAGACATTAATCGAAACAAGTCCAGGTATGTATTTTAGGGCACTGTTTTGTGAAGTATTCTCTGCATTTTCCACATGGTTTTTAAAACTCTTGTCTAGTGTGATCTCTAATTGCCTCTGCTAATCTAGCCAGTTCAGTATGCCTCTGCTGAAAGTCTTGACTTCTGGGCTGCCCAGAAGAGACTCAGCCTGACCTCTTTCAAGTCTCGAGTGTTAGGATATCAGAGAGAGAGGATGCACTGCCCCCAATTTGCAAGTTTCAGATTATTTTCTGGCCGATTGCTGCTGCTTGGGTGCAATTCTGCAGCTTCAACAAATTGACACAGAATCCCTCCTTTGCCTCCAGATTTTTGGGAGCTCAAAGTCCCCCTGGCGTCATTGCTTCCACCAGCTAGGCTATTTTCCTCCCCACACTAAGTGGGGACAAGAAGTGCTCTTCCGGATCGGGCCGAGGGTCAGTCTAGCCCAGCACTCTGCTTCCAACTGTGGACAGCCAAGGAAGCCCCTCCAGGCAAGGCACAGGGGCGATAGGCCTCCGCTGTTCCTTAGCACCACCCCAGCGTTCTGGTATTCAGAGGTAGACTGCCCTTGAACCTGCAGGCTCTGTTTTGCCGTCCTGATGAATAGCCACAGCTAGACCTCTGCTTTTTAAAAATATGACGCAACAAGCGAATGCAATGAATGACCAGAAACGTGATTTAGAGTTGAAAAATAAAAGAAAATGCAATAAATACTGACAAGACACTTGTTTTAGAATTTAGAAAGGAAAGAAAGTGCAATAAATAATGAGGGCTAGAAACTTCCTTTGAAATAAAAAAAAATGCAGTAAGTAATAAGGACTAGAAACTTGCTTTAAAATGTAGAAAAAGAAATGATAAAGTGGTGGTGATGCGAGTTATGCTTGGGCATCTTTTGGCTCCCAGCTATTCTCTCCTTCTCAAGGAACCCCATCTCCTTCCAGGGGCCACTTGCGTTCTGAAGAAGAAATTCTCTGCCAGCCAGTTCTGGCCCGACTGCCGGCGCCATCACGTCACCATCTTCCAGTACATTGGGGAGTTGTGCCGCTACCTGGTCAACCAGCCACAGGTGAGTGCTGGGGGATGGAGGCCCTCTGGTGGTGACAGGAGGGATTGCCACGCAAGCAGGCATCCCACTTCTCCGAAGTGTGGAGAGAGGTGTGTGACTCTTCCAACTCTTAAAAAAAAGGGGGGGGGCCTTTCAAGAGTTCCCTGGGAAGAAGGATTGATTCTTAAACCACTCTAGGAATTGCAGCTCTATGGGGCCCCCCCCACAACTCTCATGATAATAATAATTTTTATTAATTTTCAATTACAACCCAGTGATAGCCTCATTAAAACAATACCAAATTACAATACAGTTACTCATACCAATCTTTCAATTACCAAATTAAATAATTTAGGTGCCCCCCTCCCACGTGCTAGATCTGATGGTTTGATGGGTGTGTTTTTTAATCTGCGTTCCAACATCTTATTAATTTCATTTAAATTCCAATCATAATAATCCCATATACAACAACTGCAATATTTGCGACTTCTATTTGTGTTAGTATCCCCAACAACTCTCAGCACCCTTAACAAACGATAGGTCCCAGGATTATTTGATCTTCCGTGAACTTGTCTAATTGTCTTCTAAAGCCACCCAAATCAGGGGCCATCATCATCACCTCCTGTGGGATCTGCTAAGCTGTCCCTGCACCCCTTTAACTACTTTTTAATTTATTTATTTTTTGAGATTTGACCCTATTTCTTGTGGCCCCTGGACCCATTTCCATTTTTTTTTTAATTTCCATTTTATTTATTTGTTAACATTCTTGTATTACATCGGTAAACATTGTCATATTACATTACAGGACTTACTATAATATAATTTCCAACATGTATACAAAAATTGTATACAGATTTTATATACCTAGAAAGGAAATGAAACAGAAAAAAGAAAGAACAAAGAAAAAAACAAAAAAAATTCCCCAAAAATCATATACAGTGGTACCTCAGGTTAAGTACTTAATTCGTTCCAGAGGTCTGTTCTTAACCTGAAACTGTTCTTAACCTGAAGCACCACTTTAGGTAATGGGGCCTCCTGCTGCCGCCGCCCCGCCGGAGCACGATTTCTGTTCTCATCCTGAAGTAAAGTTCTTAAACCGAGGTACTATTTCTGAGTTAGTGGAGTCTGTAACCTGAAGTGTATGTAACCTGAAGCGTATGTAACCCGAGGTACCACTGTACATACCAACACACTAGACTTCCTGTCTTTCCCGTTGTATATTCCTTTTTTACAAATGAATGTACCCTGGAGCCATTTCCAAGCATCGGCCGAATTCTCCTCCTTGCTCTCTGCTAATTCCTCCTCCTCCTTCCTTCCCTCCCTCCCAGAGCCCCAGTGACCGGGAGCACACCTTGCGCATGGCTGTGGGCAGCGGCCTTCGCCCGGATGTCTGGCGTGAATTCCTGCGCCGCTTTGGGAACCTGACGATCGTGGAGACCTACGGCATGACGGAAGGGAGCGTCAGCCTCTTCAACTACACGGGGGCCGTGGGTGCTGTGGGCCGCGCCTCTTGGCTCTATAAGGTGAGCATTGACAGGGTCTCTCCCAGGAAGCAGGTGGCGTTCGCGGAGCAGGTATGGGGCATCAGGATGTGGCAAAGAGGATACCTGAGGCCAGGGCAGGATTTAGGTTTGATGAGGCCCTAAGCCAGGAGTCAGCAAACTTGGTCAGCAGGGGGCAGGTCCACTGTCCCTCAGACCTTGTGGGGGGCTGGACTATACTTTGGGGGAGGGGGGGGAATGAACGAATTCCTATGCCCCACAAATAACCCAGAGATGCATTTTAAATAAAAGCATACATTCTACTCATGGAAAAACAGGCTGATTCCCTGACCGTCCGCGGGCTGGATTTAGAAGGTGATTGGGCCAGATCCGGCCTCCGGGCCTTAGGTTGCCTACCCATGGGACTCTGAGGCCTAGCTCAGACTTCTTTTCACTACAAATGTAACTGTAACCACAAGATTAAAGCCTGCCTTCAGGATCCTACTGCGAACTGAATGTAAGTAAACTTTAAAACTACAGTGGACGCTCGGGTTGCGAACGTGATCCATGCGGGATGCACGTTCGCAACCCACAGCGTTCCTAACCTGCGTCTGCGCATGCGCAGGTTGCAATTTGGCGCTTCTGCGCATGCGCGACCGCCAAAACCCGGAAGTAACCCGTTCCGGTACTTCCAGGTTTTGGCGGTCCGTAACCCAAAGAAACGCAACCTGAAGCGTCTGTAACCCAAGGTATGACTGTACTTTAAACAAGGCTGTCATGTTGTTCTTATTTATGAGGGAAATAAAGGGGGAATTTTACCAGGAACAATCCATTCTGGACAAGCCAGACTGGATTGCTTAACTTAACAAATCCATCAACTTGCTTCTAGCAATGTGCAAGCGAATGCGCTCTGCTACTTGCTCACTAGTGTGAGTGAGGAGAGATAATATTTAATCAATATATCCTCTCTTACCTTCCTCAACATGAGGATCTCAGAGACTGGGCAGGTCTGTATGTGAAGATACGGACTTTCAGATAGCCTGGGCCTAAGCTTTGTAGGGACCTCCAGATAGGGTTGAGCCTGGAGGTGGGAGCCTGTGTCCCCCTGGAAATCGCTGGACTCCCAACTCCCATCACCTCTAAAGGCCAGGGGTGATGGCAGGAGCTGAATCCCATGCTTTAGCCCCCGTACCCATTTCACTGTATTTTTTGAAAGGCTTCACTTGCACCCCTACTCTCTGCAGAAGTTTGTCCCCTTCGAACTGGTCCGTTACGACGTGCTTCGAGGTGCTCCCTTCCGGGACAAGGCGGGACGCTGCCAGCGTGTCAAGAGAGGTGAGCAAGGTGTTGTCCGTTCAGTTGGGAGCAGAGAGAGAGAGCTGCCTTCCGTCCCACCATGGCGCCCCCACCCTTCCAGGTCGGTGACTGTACGTCTCTCTGTTTTTGTGTCAGGGGAACCCGGCCTTCTGATCTCTCCCGTGACTCCGCAGACACCTTTCCAGGGCTACGCCGGAGGGCGCGAGCTGTCGGAATCCAAGCTCCTCCACGGGGTCTTTGCCAACAGGGACACCTATTTCAACACCGGCGACCTGATGGTGCAGGACAAGTGCGGCTTCGTCAGTTTCTGGGACCGTACTGGAGACACATTCCGGTATGTTTCCTCCTCCTCCTTTTCCTCTTGGAAGTTGTGGGTCAGGAACTCCTCTGGATCTGAAGAGGGTGGCAAGAGCAAGTTTTTATTCCGAAAGTGCGGCCCGGAGGAAAATGTTTGAGAGCCGCTGGTTTAGAGAGCGCAGGTCCCTGCCTGCAGGAGCTTACAGTCTAAACTTTGTCAAGAGGATGTCAAGGAGAGACGTGCAGGAGAGCTTTTGGGTTCTGTTGGGTTGGAAGTGAGGAGGCTGGAGACATTTTACTCCCTTGGGATGACTTCGCAAGTTTCAAACTGACCTGGAAACTGTCTCAGAAATCTTGTTCCTTGAGTCAAGATACCATCTCTCCATGCCTCAGTTTCCCTCTAGGTGGAGGGCAGCGTTGCACTCAGGTCCTGCTTCTGGGATTTCCAGAAAAAGTATCTGGCTGGCACTGTGAGGGAAGGATGCTGAACTCTGGCCTGATGCTGCTGCAGAGCCCTTCAGCTGTTCCTCTGTACTTCTCCTCCTCTCTGCCTCAAATTCCTGGCAGGAATCTCCATCCTTTCCTTTCCCTCTGCCCCGGTTTCCCTTTAGGTGTCTATTTCCTTTCTCCCCCTTTGTTCCCAGTTGCCGGCCGGCCTGTTCTTCTATTCCAGGCTGGCTGGAGGGAGCATTTTCCTCTCCATTGAGCTACCCCACCTGCCCACTGGGAAACGTTAAGAACACCCATAGCATCTTCTTTGCTGGTCCTGGGCTTCTCCTGCCCATCAGACTCTCTCCTCCTTTTATTTTAAATCGCCCGCTGCTTTGCATTCTCCTGCTGCCCTGTCTTCTGATGCAAAGGCGCCCCCGTGTGGCCTGACCTACATTTCTCAACTTAAGCCGCTTTCAAAAGCCGGCTTGCTATTTACAACACGGAGCTGGCCACAGGAGGGCGCTCTTTGCTAAAGAAAACTTTCTGGAGGGGGAAACAAGGACAGCCGCGAAGGAACCTCCCAAAGCAGAGGTGACCGATGTGGATGTTTTAATAGAATCGTAGAGTCGGAAGGGACCTCAAGGATCATCTAGCCCAACCCCCTTGCAGTGTAGGAATATGCAGGTGTCCCTTTCAGGGATCAAACCTACAACCTTGGCATTGTCAGCAGCACGCTCTAGCCGACTGAGCTATCCAGTTTCGCCGGACTCCCAACTCCCATCATCCCTGATGAACCACTGGCTGTGCTGCCTGGGGGCTGATGGGAGTTGGAATCCAGATTCCCCCATTAACAGGTGGACACTCGGGTTGCGAACGTGATCCGTGCGGGATGCACGTTCACAACCCGCAGCCTTCGCAACCCATGTCTGTGCACACGCGGCTTGCGATTCGGGACTTCTGCGCATGTGCAAAGCATGATTTAGCGCTTCTGCGCATGCGCAACTGTCGAAACCTGGAAGTAACCCGTTCCGGTACTTCCAGGTTTCGGCAGTCCGCAACCCGAAAAAACGCAACCTGAAGCGGCTGTAACCTGAGGTACGACTGTATTATTTTTTATACATTTTTATTAATTTTGTAACATATCATTTCCAACAGTCATTTAACATACATTCTTATCTTATACAATATTTTAGACTTCCGTCAACTACCTCTGAAGATTTTCCGTTCTTTATCACTTAATCTGCATTTCTTAATTTCTCTTATTACTTTTAATTGTCCTTAACTAATGATTCTCTTCATAGTCTTCCTTGCAATATTTCACCTAATCCTCCTTACAAAACTTCTTGCAGTCTTACTAGCGTAATCTGTTTGTTGCAATTGCTTTTCAAACAGTTCAAATATTGACTCCACAGATTCCCCCATTTTGAGAGCAAGAGAAATGGGATCAATGACCTAGCAGGAGGTTGGGCTCTGATTTGCTGGGCGGATTTTGAGTAGAATTTGGACAGCCAGCCATCTCCTAGCTCAGAATGTCATGTGTTGGGCAATAAATTGGACTTGACGATCAGGGAAGAACAATAACCCTCCAACTCTGTGGGTCTGGGAGTCTATATCCTCCACCTTTTTCATCATTATCGTTTTTAATTTTAGCTGTGATGGCTGCTTTGCTCAGGGTTGGACTAGATGACCCTTGAGGTCCCTTCAAATTCTGTAATTCTATTATCGTATTATAATGCTTGCTTTACCCCCTTCCCATGCCTGGCACAGAGCCACCTTGCCAGCCTCTGCCCCCAGGACTACGCCCTGCGATTCCCCAGATTCTTCCACATCCCTTTAACCCTTTAATTCTATTTTCTCCCTGCCCTTTCCTAGGTGGAAAGGAGAGAACGTGGCCACGACAGAAGTAGGCGAGATCCTGGGAAGTCTGGACAGCTTGCTGGAGGTCACTGTTTATGGTGTCACGGTTCCAGGTACTCTTGAAATGAGGGGCTCTAGAATGTGTTTTTCAAATTATTATTTTACTTCTTTATTTGGACGGTTTATATACCACTTTTTAAAAAATACCAGAACTCTAAGGTTAAAACATCTTAAGCAAAACAGCATTTTTTTTAACCACCAGAGAACATCCACGTTCTACAAAACACAATTAACAGATAAAATGGAGCGTCCTGTAATCAAAATAAACATTAGGCAATCAAACCAACTACAAAAATAATGTAATTCTAGGAACCATATTACAGAGGTACCTTGGTTTACAACCGTAATCCGTTCCGGAGGTCCGGTTGTAAACCAAAGAAGGTTGTAACCCAAGACGTGCTTTCGCCAATGGGGCCTCCCTTCAAAAATTGGTTGTAATCCAAAAAATATATCTATATAAATGGGTTGTAATCCAAAAAAGGGACACGCACTTCCGGGTTTGACATGGTTGTAATCCAAAGCAGTTGTAATCCAAAGCGGTTGCAAACCAAGATAACACTGTGCAGGAAAGGGCTGGGATTTGGGTAGAGGGCGTCGCAGGCATAGCTGTCAACGTTTCCCATTTTTTAAGGGAAATTCCCTTATTCCGAATAGGATTCCTTGCAAGAAAAGGGAAAAGTTGACAGCTATGGTCCCAGGGTGTCGGCCTGCCCCTTCTCGTCCTACTCAGCGTAGACCCATCAAAGCTAATGGACATGACTAAGAACACCTTCCACTTTACCACAGATACCACTTCAAAGAGCCACGGTTTCCCCCAAAGAATTCTGGGAAGTGTAGTTTGTTGAGGGGGCTATTTCTCTCACAGGCCTACAATTCCCAGAGTCCCCTGGGAAGAGGGATTGAGCACTGAACCACTCTGGAAATTATGTGATGGATTGATCTCCTGCCTCCTAAACCCTTCAGAAGATATCCGGTGTTTCTTCAATTGCTGGACGTTTCCAAATTGTGTGTGTTTGTAGCCTCAATCACCCCACAACCCCACTTCACACAATCATGGCTTCTCCCAAAGGATCTTGGGAAGTGTAGTTCATTTAGAGTGTCGAGAGTTGTTGGCAAACCCCTGTTCCCCTCGCCGAACTACAATTCCCAGAGTTCCCTGGGACGAAAGGGGTGTGGATTGTTCAAACCACTCTGGGAACAATAGGCGTTGGCCACTGTAAGAAAAAAAGATGCCGGACTTTTGTGGGCCTTCGGCCTCATCCTGCAAGGCTCTTCTGATGCCGATAGCTGTGATTGTTCAGAATGGAACTCTTAATTTCGGGTCACGGGTTCGAGCCCCACCTAGGGCAAAAGACTGAAGGGGGTTGGACTAGATGACCCTTAAAAAAACAGATATATATATAATCATTTTTTCGATACAAACAACAACCGCAAAAGACACTACAACAAAACCATAAGAACAATAATAACACAATTTGACAATTCAGATTTAAAAACACTGATAAGTATATGACTGCAGCCTTTTAACAATATTTTCCCACCTCTCTCTCCTCCCCCCACTATCCGCCTTATTGCTTAAATATTCATTCCAGATTTCTTCATATTTATCCATTCTTAATTTGGGCCGACATGCAATTCGTTCATATGTAGCTAATCTGTCCTCAGTGTGCTCAGTGGGATGTTTTTGCGGCTCTTCCAATTCATCAAAACAATTTTTTTGCTTCTAATATAGCGCAGTACATCCATTTTTTTTTTGACCCCTTGTGGTCCTTTCCAACTGTACAAATCTAATATTCTAAGAGCCTCCCTGTCCCAAGGCAGTCTACCTCTGAACAGTAGATGCCGGAGACAAACAACGATGCCTTAAGCACCCTGCCTGGGGACTTGCTGGAGGAATCTGGTTGGCCACAGTGGGAACAGGATGCTGGACTTAGGTGGGCCATTGGCCTGTTCTGGCTGCCAGGGAGTCATTCTGGACTCACAGCTGTCCATGGAGGCCCAGGTCAATTCTGTGTCCAGGGCAGATGTTTACCAGCTCCATCTGGTACGCAGGATGAGACCCTATCTGCCCGCGGACTGTCTCGCCAGAGTGGTGCATGCTCTGGTTATCTCCCGCTTGGACTACCGCAATGCACTCTACGTGGGGCTACCTTTGAAGCTGACCCGGAAACTACAACTAATTCAGAATGCGGCAGCTGGACTGGTGACTGGGAGCAGCCGCCGAGACCACATAACACTGGTCTTGAAAGACCTACATTGGCTCCCAGTATGTTTCCGAGCACAATTCAAAGTGTTGGTGCTGACCTTTAAAACCCTAAACGGCCTTGGTCCAGTACACCTGAAGGAGCGTCTCCACCCCCATTGTTCTGCCCGGCCACTGAGGTCCAGCGCCGAGGGCCTTCTGGCAGTTCCCTCACTGCGAGAAGTGAGCTTACAGGGAACCAGGCAGAGGGCCTTCTTGGTAGTGGCGCCTGCCCTGTGGAACCCCCTCCCATCAGATGTTGAGGAAATAAACAACTATCCGACTTTTAGAAGACATCTGAAGGCAGCCCTGTTTCGGGAAGCTTTTAATGTTTGATGCATTACAGTATTTTAATATTTTGTTGGAAGCCGCCCAGAGTGGCTAGGGAGGCCTAGCCAGATGGGCGGGGTAGAAATAATATATTATTATTATTATTATTATTATTATTATTATTATTATTATTCTGATGCTCAGGCAGGCCTAACTAGGCCCCTGCTTGCCAGAGGTTCCCATACGGATATACAGTGGTACCTCTGGTTGCGAACCGGATCCGTTCCGGAGGCCCGTTCGCAACATGAAAAGAGCGCAACCCGCAGCGGCGCGTCTGCGCACATGCGGGTTGCGATTCACTGCTTCTGTGCATGACGTCATTTTTGTGCTTCTGTGCATGCGCGAGCAGCAAAACCCGGAAGTAACCCTTTCCGGTACTTCCGGGTCGCCGCGGGACGTAACATGAAGCGGACGTAACATGAGGTATGACTGTATATCCGCTTGTGGCGCATTCCAGAGTGAGACCCAGCCTTCATCTCCCTCTCTCCCTGCCTCTTCCCCCAGGGCACGAAGGCCGAGCGGGCATGGCGACCGTGGTGCTGAAGCCAGGACAGGAGTTTGATGGTGATCAGGTCTACACGCACGTGGTGGAGCTCCTCCCGCCCTTCGCCCGCCCTCGATTTCTGCGCATCCAGGTACGAGGAGCACCCAATGCAGCCTGCGCCTCTTCCACAGCCATGCAGGAAAGAGGGGTGTGTGTGTGAGTGTGTGTGTGTGTGTTGGAGGCTGGGTTCCCGGTGCCGGGAAGCGGTGATGAGCAGGATCTTGTGCCGGAACGCAGCCCCGTGGTAGTCTCAGCGCTTGCGTCTGTAGCGAAAAGAGGCCCTGCTTCTGATTTTTCCCTGCTTCTGATTTTTCTGCCAAAGGTGGATGTCAGCCCTGCAGCCCCCCAGGCCTCCCTCTCTGGCCTCTTGGGATTCACCTCGGGTTGCACCCCTTATCCTCAGACCACACCCCTTGCTGCCCCAGCGTCACACCTCCCTTGGGGATTGTTCCCTGGCTGAAAGCTGTTTCTGAACTCTGATATGCTACCCATTTGCATGGCTGTGGGATAGAGAGGATGGATGTAGGATAGATGTAGGATAGGATTGGGACGCGGGTGTCGCTGTGGGTTAAACCACAGAGCCTAGGACTTGCCAATCAGAAGGTTGGCAGTTCGAATCCCCGCGACGGGGTGAGCTCCCGTTGCTCGGTCCCTGCTCCTGCCAATCTAGCAGTTCGTAAGCACGTCAAAGTGCAAGTAGATAAATAGGTACCGCTCCAGTGGGAAGGTAAACGGTGTTTCCATGCGCTGCTCTGGTTTGCCAGAAGCGGCTTAGTCCTGCTGGCCACATGACCCAGAAGCTGTATGCCGGCTCCCTCAGCCAATAAAGCTAGATGAGCGCCGCAACCCCAGAGTCAGTCACGACTGGACCTAATGGTCAGGGGTCCCTTTACCTTTAACTTTACCTTTAGGATAGAGAGAGGGGTGGGTGTGGGTCAGTCCCGTCCCCCCCATTTGTATTTTATTAAGTTTCAACCCTTTTAACACATACAGTCAAAACGCAATTTCGTCTTTTCTCTTGTTTTTGTCGACTTCCCGCCCCGTTTTCCATTGTTGCTCCTCCCGTTCTGCTGCACCCGATCTTCCGTCTGCCGAATCACAGCCACAATATTACAATCTAAACGTTTCTGTCGCTCATAGCTCAAATCCTCCTTGCCACTTCATCATACCATATATCTTTAAACAGTCCGAAAAAGGCATCCGTTCTCCCATAAAAGATTCTCTTAATTTTGTGGTTAATTTTTACCAATTCTGCATTGTCCATTAACTTACCCATTCTTTGGGTGGGAGTCAATTTAAGCTTTTGCCTCTGGCCCTGCACACCTCTGCTATGCGGCCCCCAGAAGGCTGCCTATCCGTCAGAGATGCTGCCAGCTGCAACGTCCCTGCATTCGGCGGGGTGGCCTGGATGACCTCCCGAGGTCCCGACCCCTCAATTCTGTCCTTTCTCTCTCCTTCCCGCCAGGAACACTTGGAGCTGACGGACACCTTCAAGCAGAAGAAGGTCCGCCTGGCAGACGAAGGCTTCAACCCGACGCTGATCTCAGACCCTCTTTTCTTTCTGGATGACGCTGCGAAGTCGTACGTCCCTCTGACCCACGGCGTCTGGGAGGGGATAGCTGCTGGTCATGTCCGGTTATAACCTGCACCCGCTTCTCCCGATTCGTACCCGAACCCCAGTGCTCTGAGCTGGGGGCTGCAGGGTGTCCTTGAAGACTCTAGCCTCCTTCGTTTCCACCTCGGCCTTAAAAGGCTCTTGTGCCTCTTTCTACACCCCAGATTTTCTCTCCTAGCTGTGCCCCAGGTGACCCCACGCCTCTGCTAGTGGGGTGCCCCCTTAGCGAGGACTTGACGCCCCCTCCTAGCCCCTCCACACAAATGAAGAGGGAGGGCTTATTCCTGCCCAGATGTTGTTGGACTCAACCTCCAATCATCCTCAACCCAGTCCATCATCTGAGGGTTACCTCCTTTACACCTCTGTACATGTAGAAATTAATTTTTGTCCAGTGGTGATTTGCAATCTTGCTACTGTTAAGCCACTGGGAATCCACCATCCTTACTGATCTACTGCAGATCACCCAGAAATCAACCGGCAGATCCTCGTTTTCGTCCTGTCCTCCCTTGTGGCTGCTCTCTTCCTCTGTAAGAATTTCCCTTCCTGGGTTGGGCTATGGCAGGGCTGGGGGGCCTGTTGTTGGACTATAACTCGCATCATCCCTGACCCTCTGGCTGTGGGGGCTGCTGGGAGTTGAAGTCAAACGACAGCTCCCATCGTTCGTGGCCATTGGCTGTGCTGACCGGGGCTGCTGGGAGTTGCAGTCCTAGAGCATCATGGTTCGACAGCCCCCATCGGCCCTGATGGCTGGCGATGCTTGTTGCAGGGGCTGATGGGAAATTCCTCCGTCTCCATGCTGTGGCCCAGCAGCTAACTTATTCCCAGTAGTGCCCAACCTCGTTGCCTTTGGGAAAACTTGCAAAGCGGATCACGGAGGCTGACGGGCCGTAGCTGTTAAGACCATGATCCGTCCTCCAGTTCTGGTGTCGACTCGGCCCCATCTGGTGGTCGCCACCCAGCTGCTGTGCCTCAGATACTTCAGTCTCCCATCTACAATAGGGAGAAATGGAACACCAGCCCGCCTTACAAGACTGTTGTGTGAATCGCTGAAATAACAGATGCGGCACACATGGACTGGACAAACCACATCAAGTCTTATTTTCACGATGTTCTCTGGGCTGGGACGAGAAGTGGGGTATTTTTGTGAGGTGGCGTTGCTCTTCTGCTCTGCCGACGAGGTTTTTTTGCAGGCAATGGGCCTGCTTTTAGGAGTTAGCAGGCCTGGTTTCAAGGTGAGGGGCTTGTGAGGGAACTATGGGTTGGGGTTGTTTATTTTCTATTCTTCGTATCAAATAAAGTTCCTTTTTTTTTTTTGTACCAGCTGAACTGTGGTCTTTATTGCTTCAGCAGGAAATCGTCTCATCAACTCTGTTCCAGAAAGAAATCTGTTTTGGGGACGGGGTGGTATAAATCTGCTTTGGGGGTGGGTCTTTGCCTGGATTTTGGCTGTGTGTGGAAAGAGCCTAACTTGAGAAGGGAAGCCCCCACATGGCTAACATGAGGTATCCATCATCACATGGAGTCAGATTTAGGAACGTTCAGCTTCATTGAATGTTGGAAGAGGTGGCCCTCCAGGCTTCTCAGTCTGGCCCTTGAGACACTCTCTCCAAGCTCCTCTCCTTGAATGCCTTTGCTAGGTAGAAGGGTGGCCTTTGGCTTACCTGGGACGTGTGTGTGTTTGTTTGTCAAAACCTCTGACTTCTGTATGACATGGAAGTAGCCTACTGTGCAAAGGCACAGAATCATATCTGTTACTCCTCCCCTTTTTTGCATATTGGCCCTGCCCACCAATTGCATGCGGCCCTCAGAATGTTGCCCAGAGGCGTGTGTGGCCCTCGGGCTGTTTCCCATTCCAGTTTTGGAATATGAGACCATAGCAGATCAGGTCTGGTGTGTGTGCATGTGTGTGCGTGTGTGTGTGTGAGAGAGAATATCTTCCTAATGCTTGAAATGAGGAGGCAGTGTGTGTGTGTGTGTGTGTGTGTGTGTGTGTGTGTATTTGTGTTACCAGTCATGAAGGTTTGCAAACTATCATTAGTGAGGGTCAGTCGGTTTCTCTCCTTTCAGTTTAGTCTGGGTCAAAGGGCTGAATACATTATATTGATCTTTTCTCAATCATCTAAAAGGCTGAGGGTCCTATTAAGCTGTGCCACATTGGGGGCAGGGAACAGGGAGGAAGGAGCCTGGAAACTACAGCACCCCACAAACCCTCCAAGTCTTTATCCCCTACATCTAAGGGGGCATTATATGAGATGACTGAGTGCCTCCTCACCTTGTTATCTTCCGCTCTGAACCACAATGTAGTTTTTTTATAAAGGAGTAGCAATACTGTTGGCAGCAGCATCTGGAACAACCAGGAACTTGTTTGGGGTTCCTAAGTATTCAGAGAGCCCTCTAGCCTGACCAGAGTCTCCATGGTCCATTTTCTTGGAGGACTCTTGAGTTTACTAAAACGTTGAAGTTTTTTTGCGCTTTCCCTGAGATAATCGCTTGACTGCTTTCGGATTCTCCTGCACTCCTGCTTCCCTTCGAACCATCTTACGTACTGTTAACGTTTTATGTTTGCATTTGGTGGACTGTACAGTGGTACCTTGGGTTAAGAACTTAATTCGTTCTGGAGGTCTGTTCTTAACCTGAAACTGTTCTTAACCTGAAGCACCACTTTAGCTAATGGGGCCTCCTGCTGCCCCCGCACGATTTCTGTTCTCATCCTGAAGCAAAGTTCTTCACCCGAGGTACTATTTCTGGGTTAGCGGAGTCTGTAACCTGAAGCATCTGTAACCTGAAGCGTCTGTAACCCGAGGTACCACTGTACATGAATTAGGTAACTAATTTCCGGGGTGGCGGCCTTGTGATTCTCTTGGGGCTTCCACTGGAATCGGGCTGTGGCCCACAAAAGCTTAGGCCGTTGTCTTTAAGGTCTCACAAAATTCTGCCGTTTTTTACACTGCCTAACCAAAGCAGGAAGATGTCTGTCTGTCTGTCTCTCTCTCTCTCTCTCTCTCTCTCTCTCTCTCTCTCTCACACACACACACACACACACACACACACACACACAGAGTCTTCAAGGCCTGACTTGCCCAAGTAAATATTTTTTTGGGAGAGATGATGAGCGCCTTCTGTCCCCCTACTGCATCTTTATTCATAAGACACTAATCCTCCTGCGGCAGTCTGGGAGAGTTGGGGTTGGGGAGGGTCAAGCCAGCCATAACCCATTAAGGTGGGGAAGAATCTCCTCTCCCTAAAAAAAAGGGGGGGGGAGGGGAGCAACAACCCAGAATTCATCAACCCAGGAACTTGACGTACACAAACACGCCAGTATCCTGGTGTGTTTGCAAGAGAGCAAAAACAAAATTATTTTTGCTTAGGGACACACACACAGAGCAACTCTGAATCTGAGATGTGGAAGAAATAAAGACAGGATCACTTGCGTTATCCACTCTTAAGGGCTCCACCCCCCCCCCGTTGCTTTTTGAAATGTCCCCCACTCCAGCATCCCGAAACGTGTGTTAAAAAGCTCAACAACAAGACCCCACTAAATAGCATGGCTGGCTGGGTTGCTGATTCCCGACCCCCCTGGACAATTGAGCCCTGCCCTGGTGCCATTCCCAGCTGCAGTGGGATTTAAGTGCTGAGAAACAAACGTAAGATTCTCCATATAACTTCAAGACAGGCAGGCATATACATATTTGCAATGAAATGACAATAAAGCAGAATATTTTGAGTTGATTTCCTGCAGCTCCTTTTTAAACGGGGGTGGGGGGGTGTTATTGGGTGGTTGTTTTTATTTTGATTATGTTTTTTGTGGTTTTATATTTTGATTTTATTCTGTGAACCGCCCTGAGACCTTTGGGTAAAGGTAAGATAAAGGGACCCCTGACCATTAGGTCCAGTTGTGACCGACTCTGGGGTTGCAGCGCTCATCTCACTTTATTGGCCGAGGGAGCCGGCGTACAGCTTCTGGGTTATGTGGCCAGCATGACTAAGCCGCTTCTGGCGAACCAGAGCAGCGCACAGAAACACCTTTTACCTTCCCGCCGGAGTGGTACCTATTTATCTACTTGCACTTTGACGTGCTTTCGAACTGCTAGGTTGGCAGGAGCAGGGACTGAGCAACGGGAGCTCACCCCGTCGCGGGGATTCGAACCGCCGACCTTCTGATCAGCAAGTCCTAGGCTCTGTGGTTTAGCCCACAGCGCCACCCATGTTCCTTGCCTTTGGGTATAGGGTGGTATATAAATTCAAACAACAACAACACCCCCTAATGACCATAGCAATGTGTTCAAACAGCTGTTTGTTTTTAAGGGGGAAAGGCAAGGGGAAATGTTATGTGGTTTCGGAGCATTGCAGCCAGAAGCCTGACTAGATTCAACTCCCTTCCTTGGGGGCTGAGCTAGCTTTGAGCCAGTTGCCATGTGGCCCACCTCACAGGGTTGTTGTGAGGGTGAAGCAAGGGGTGTGCATCGCGCAAAGCTTCTTGGAGGAGAGAGAGAGAGAATGCATGATGATAATGTAGTAGTAGTACTAACTGATATTTTTATTTTATTTCACTTTGTGGCTTTGGCCTACTGGGCCTGTTTAAACATTTGGTAATAATAGCCGCTAAGCCTGAATTATAGAGAACAACAAGGCGCAATAACGACACGTGAGATGGATGGGTGGATAGCTGGATAAAACCAATCTGTCAGGTTGTACCAAACTTCAGAATAGATCCATTGAAGTGAATGGCCTTATGCTATGTACATTGTTTTACAACTATCAGGGAGTGCCCGGCGCTCCCCAGGAATTGTAGGAACCAAAAAATGTTGTGATTTTTAAATGTCAAAAGTGTCACTTGTGAGTTTGAGCCTGTCATGCCAAACCTTGATGAAGACCACTGTCCCCCCTACGCTTAGGACTGCCATACCCCCAGAATTTCCCAGACTTTGCTGGGATTTAGCTATTGGAAACAGAATGTGGGCCGAAATCACATAATGCCTGGACGTATGGCAACCCATGTTGGAAGTGTAGATTGTGGTGAATTTCCTTAAAAAGTAGCTCAGAAACTTCTTCCTCTGTTTTTGAGATTTTGCAAACAAACAAAAAACAACAACTTTGGGTGAGCAAAACTGAAAAAAGGTCGAACAGCCTTTGTGTGTCTGGATTTCCACTTTTTTTTTTTTTGGCTAAGGGGGTTGGACAATGTCAAAAGTCTTTAAAGGTTCCTGTACAATTTTGTTCAAGGAGGGCAGGGAACTCTGTTGCAACAGAAAAATAAATATCTGCCTTGCTTTCCACTGGATTTCCACTTTTTGAAATATGGCAACCCTCCCTCCTGAACGCCCATGCTGGGTCTGGCGGCAACATCTCAAGAAACAGCTGAACCAATGCCAACAAAAGTCACGCCAAGGTGATGTTTTGGATCCCCTACCTTGTTCCAAAATGGCAGCTGTTGTTCGGAATTGCCCCATCTTGGGGAAACCCCCTACGCCAAGTTTCGTGACAACATCCTAAGAGATGTCAGAAAACCCAAAGAGAACAGGCCGATGGACAAACAAACCGCCCTGCCAAATAAATGCATCGCCGATGGGTCTGCTTTGGGCGGATGCCTCTGTGGAAGCAACCCACAGGGTGAGGGTTTATGGCATCGCCCCACTAAAAAAATACAACCACGACCCATTGCAGTTTGGGGGTGCAGGCTGAGAGAAACTAGGGGGTTCCTCTCTGAGGCCTTTCTCTCTCTTTCTCTGCCATTGTCATCCCCCAGACACCCCTCCCTCCTCTTTCCCTCTCACCTCTGCCATAAAAAGGGGCCTGTGGCTCAGTGCCCCATTGTGAGGGGATAATAGGGCCAGCAGCTTGTGAAAGTGATACCATGAATGGGGCTGGGAGGGCGGGCAGAGAAGGGGGTAGGCCCCGTAGCCCCGGTAACCACAGGAGCTCTAAGTGCAGCTAATAGGATAAGAGGGGCTGGGAGCGAGAGAGGAAAGGGGGGGTGAGATGGAAAGGGGGAGCAGTTGGGCACAGAGAGGAACCGCTTCCAATGGTTGTCACCAGAACCCGCTCCTCCCCAAAGATTGGGGTGTGTGGGGGTACTTCAGGCCTCAGAAATACCCCTCCCCATTGACTCGGTCTCACATCACTTATCGTACTGGAGATATGCATGAAATGTGTGCTCAGGCATGCGTAAGGGACATACTAGAAAATTCAGTGGAGGGCTGTTTTTTTGGAGGGGGTGCCTGCTGGGTGTTTGGGGTCTCCCTCTCAGGTCCCATGATGGGAAGGATATATTCTATAATCTGAGAAAGTCGAGCTTCTGCCCACAGCTCTGCGGGATGGGATGGGAAAGGAAGGACCCGAATGCCTGGGTTCCATGTGGAGAAATGGCTTGGGGCAGTCTGTGGGGTGATGCAAGAGTGTCTGGAGTGGGTGGGTGGGTGGGTGGGCAGCAAAGGAGAAACCCGCCCCCTCCATCAGCCCCAGATATTGTGCCTTCAGTACCTGGGACAGCACCCAGGAGATACACAGATTTTAGGCGTGCATTTTTGTCACTTGGTGACTGCAGCCATCAAGGGATGAGTTGCTTGTGTAAATAGGCCATTGCAGATATCACACGGTGTCAATAAACACCCACCTCCCTTCCCATCCACTCAAGATCTTTCAGGCCCATCTGAGTGCAGAAAAAGCGATGATTCTCTGAATGTCACTCGTTTTTCTTCTTTTTAAAGCAGGGGTGCTGGTCCTCATGGAAACGGTGGGAAAGTGCAGGTGAGTGTTTCGTGTTGTTTTTTCAAAGGCTGAGTGGAAGAAAGATTAGATTTGGCCCACAGGCTGCTGATAACTCACCCCTGAGTCTATGCAAAAATCTGTCTAATGCAGTTTTGTTCTATTTTCACTGTCATTACAACAACAATAATACGGGGGCAAGCGGTCAAATAAGATAAAATTACAAATTCTCCCAAACAACTTCTAGGTTCTTCTACAGTCAAGATCATCTCCTTTACGAATTACACATTCTGACCATTTCCGTTGTCAACATTTGGCAAGATCTCACTTCTGTTGAGTGTGGTTAAGCGTCACTCAAAAGGTACTTTTCTAAAAAACACCAAAAAAACCCTGTATATCCCACAGAACGCGATCCGATTTAATGCTATGCTTTTGGGGCAGAACTTTGTCTTAATTGCCGAAGATTCTAGTCCCCATGGAATCTGGCAGAGAACAACTTGGAAACGGGCCCAGCATTTGTGGGGTGATAAACATATACAAAAGAGAAGCTCTTGTGGTCTTCCCATGAAGAGGGGAGCTCATCTGTTTTGGTCACTTCTGATGTCATTGTTTTGCACCCTTAAAATTTAAAGGAGTGGGGACATTTGCTCATGAAATCCTTAGCCACGAACAGGATTTACCATTCTCAGCAGCTTGCAAATCAAGCACGGTTCCCCCCCCTCCCCAATATTATGACCCAGCAAAAGGGCTATAGAACGAGGCATTGGACACACATCAATGTTTCCCAAGAGGGATGAGGTGTTGGGGGGTGGGAGGAGAGGGGGGTGGGGAGCGAGCAGCCCCTGCCTCTCATCTTTATGCTGAGCTGTAATTGGGCAGGCCTGCCTCCAGCTGCCTTTCACACCCAAGCCTGCAAGCACACACCCCCCTTGCACCCCAGTCCAATTGTATCAGTGTCTGTGGCCGTCAGAGAGGCCAAACAATGGGAATAATAATAAGGAAGCCTGCCCCCTGTCCAGCAGAAGCACTGAGAGAGGCCACTGGCCAGCAAAGTTAGAAGCCAGCGGAATTGAGGGGTCAGGAAAATTGGGGTGGGAGGGTGGGAGGGTGGAACTAGAAAGCGGGCCATGATCACAGACTAGTGCAAAACATATAGATATATACAAGTTTAGGCCAAAGACTAATAATTTTTGCTATTTGGGGGGGGGGGGGTGTGCTTCGCTGAATTGGAAGAGATCGCCCAAAACTGATACATGGAATTACCTCCTGACCACCCTTTTTCTTAAAAAGTTCCTGCAGAAACTTTCCCCCCCTTTTTTTGGCGTATTTTGTTCAGAAATACAAGTGGATTTTTCCCTATTTTCATGGTTTTACCCACCGCCGTGCTAAATTTTGGGGGATGTCACCGTGGAGCGGTTGGTTGGTCTTGGGGCTGTTTCTGCAAGATTGGGGTAAGTGGGTTTTCAGACATATATATATCTTCCTTAATTCACTTTGAATTCACCTGCCTACGTAGCTCTGTATATGTATGGATAACAATATCTTAGTTGGACTTCTTCTGTTTCTCCTCCGTGGTGTGAAATCGAACCATTCTGGGGCGGGTGCAGTGACTCTGGATTTGGGAGAAATCAGTGAGGATGGGGTATGTGTTAGAGATTCTGTTGTATGTCCCCCCCCCTCCAGTCCCCACATTCATTGCAAAACTTCAGCAAATTATTCCCCTGCCTGCCCAAATAGCAGTGCAATCTCAAGTCGCTTTGGGTCTAAATTTGGGTCTAAATTTAATTTGCGTTTGGCATATTGTCAAATCTTGGATACTTAGGTCTGGGTGAAATCTCAAAGTCCATAGGTTTCCCCCTGGTTATAATACCACTCTAGTGAGTTGGGAGAGCTCTATTCATTTGCAAACTGGGGAGAGGGAGACTGGGAGATTGTGGAAACCAAGTCTACTACGGCTGAGTTCACAGATCGGTTTGCCAAACCAAGAGTTGATGGACTGACAGTTGTGTGCATGGAGAGATGAGAGGAGAATAGATGATTTTGTGTTTTTCTGTTTTGATATTTCTTCTCTGACGGGACAACTTTCTCAGATTCTGAACGTTCAAATGGGGGGGGGGGGAGACAGAGGTTTATAAGCATCAATAGAGTGGCAGCCCCAGTGCAGGAAACAGTTCATTTATCCCCCGCTACGTAAATCAAGCTATGGATGGACCAGAAATTTGGAAGGAGGGTCTATGGATGGGACAATGTTATGCCAATTGCAAAAGTTTCTTTCTTTTCAAGTCCTAGACAGGGTTGTTTTGCTGTCTCCCAGATGTCCGCTCAAGACAGGACAATTAGAGCTTGAAGCTGTTGGGTTTTTGAAGGGGGCAATAAAGCCGATTGGATTGTTTGGGGGTTGAACAAGGATTCTCTCCCGAAAGCTAGGTCTCAGGGTTTTGTTTTGGTTGTGTAGCCCATTCACAAATTTGTTTCTGTGCTTTGGAAACTGGGATAGGGTTGATCTGAGCGTTCTCATCTTGCTTTCATGGTTCAAAGTCTGGTTGTGTCTCAACTCAATCCCGGGCACACAGGAACCTCAGCCTGTATGAAATTTGTGACCCTACAGTGGATCGTCTCTGGGTACAGGAAGGAGAAGGGTGTTTAACGCAGGTTAATAGAGCTGGCTGGGGAAACAGAGGTCTTCTGGGTTTATTTCTCTGCCTGAGCAGGACTTGGGAGCTCCTACACAGAGATGTTTGTTGGAGGCACATTTTATAGGGCTATCGGTGCAGGCTGTAACTCACGAGAGTTAATGGATCCTAACTCTCTAGTGTGTTTTATTGGGGCATGCTATGGTGCTATTGTGTTTTTTTCTTCTTCTTCACAGAAACACTGGAGAAAACGGAAACATCCATTCATATTTTGACCCCCTGTTTCACCCTAAATACACATTTGCTTGTTTGTTTAACCACCACCGCTCTTTTCTTAAAAAAAGTTGAAGCAGATTTCAAGAGGCAAGGGGAAATTTGCCACAGCTATGGCTGAAATCTCATGTGCACTTTCTTAAGATCAAGCCCCGCAGAGCACAGTGGGACTTATATCTGAGCAAGCACCCATATCATTGCGCTATAAAGCTACCGTCCTGCAAACCCTTATCATTTGCCTCCCACCAATTTGGAAAAATGCTCTGTGTCTAGAAAAGGAGTTTCCAGACTGAGGTCTGTAGACCATCAACAGCCCACAAATTTCATTTGAATGGTCCATGGCATGTCTGTAAAAAAATACAATTCAAAATCATCGAGCACCACGTTGCAATTGCTGCAACAATCGTTAGGTTTATCTGCCAGGCCACTCAACCAATTTTAAGTGGTCCGTGGAGGGGGTGGAAGTTTGGGAACTGTTAGCCTAGGACATGAAGAAGAAAATAATATTTCTGGTCAGATGTGGGTGTAGTTTTGTTTTGTTTTTAAGTACTTTCAAAGGCCTTAAAAATAGATGTCAGTTTGGGGATTTTGAAATGCAAATAAGTTAATTGCAAATTCAAATGTATCCCTATCGTGTTTTTATGACTTCCTTGATATTGTATGTGGGCTGGAACTGGTCTGTGACTGAAATAATAAAATTCATAAGTTAATGCAGTTCGTTACTGGTCCTTAAAAAGATATTAATGAAGATTTGTTACCAACCCATCTTGTCTCATGTGCCAAAACCTGCTCCCTTTTTCCTTCTTTTATCCAAAGTTCCTTAGTGCCCAACAACCCCCCAAACTGAGCTATATTTGCAGCTGAAATAATAAGGCACTTATCTGAAATGCTGCACAGCTAAACTTTTAAGTTGACACATATATCTGGAGTCAGCTACTTCCACCACCCACCTAACTCTTAAAACTAACCCACTTTACGCAAGTGATCTGTTTGGCTGGGCAGCATGATGCTTGAAAGAGGCCATCGGTGGAAGTTTGCAAATTCCAAAAGGGTTGCCCCTTGCGAGCCCAACAGGGGGAAAACAAGCAGACAAAACAGCCTTGCAGAATCTACAAAACAGATTTCTCCCGTTAGAAGTTTCTGCACACCATTTGGGAAGGTTGTAGTCTTGTGAGAGAGCATCTGCGTTGCATGCAGAAGGTCTCAATTTCAATCACTGAGCATCTCCTGGTAGCGTCAGGAGAGAGCTGCTGCTATGCAATGTGGATAACTACTGAGCTAGCTGGACCAGCGATGTAACTCAATATATAAGGCATTCGCTCTTAGGGCAAAGTTTTTCCAAAGTCATTGTAGCTTGGATATGATCTCAATAAAACTAGAGTTCAGTGATCTTACACATGATGTGTTTTATTAGCTGATAATAATAATAATAATAGTAATAATAATAATAATCTGCAATGGTTTATAGCTAAGACAGATGATGGAAGAGGCAACATTTGGGACTGGTGCATTTTCATGGCATCAGTTTTGGTGGAAGCGGGGAATGCCCTATCACTAAATCAGTGACGTGGGTGCCGAGTTGATTTCAGGATCCTGACATGCTCTATCAGAGACAACCAAACTCAAATGTGAGCAGGGAGTGGGGAGCAAATTCCTACTCCCCCAGAGGGTGTTACCCAATATATAATTATTATTATTAATGTTGATTGCACCAGAATTAGACACACACAAAAGTATTGCTTCCGCTTCAGGTTGCACCCTTAAAAAACCACAACACATAAACAGGGATGGGTTGGCTTTTGAAACAGCCCCTTGTATTTTGGCAGATGAAGTTAAAGCATGATTTAGAATGAAGATGATAGTGGAGAGATCATCATGTATAGCATGGTAGTGTAGTGGTGGTGAGAAATTCAACGATGGTTCAAGCCACATTTTCCAACCCCTGTTTGTTGTGGAATGTGTGGGGCCCTCACAGGATAGATAGGGGCCCCTAAGGGACATGGCAAATTGCTCCCCATCACCCCATCCCACAATTGCCAATATCTTATGGCAGATGCCTCTGGGAGAGAGAGAGAGAACAAGGCAAACTCTTATTTAAGTTGCCAAACTTCCCTGGAAAGAGAGAGACACAGAGAGAGAGAATTTCCTCAGCTGTTTGGATATATGGTATTATGGGGAATTAGAAGCAGAGACAAAAGAACATTGACTCTTGGGCTCTTCTTTCATGAGCTCCTAGTACGAAACTGTGTTTCCCAGCCTGACCCTTATTCTAAGGGAACCCCCTTTCTTCCAAGCAGAACTGGGGAATCCCGCAAACTCTAGTTTGCTGAGGGTGCTGGGAACTGTAGCTCTTTGAGGGGCAAGCTACAGTTCCCAGGATTCTTTAGGGTAAGCCTTGTGCTTGAAATAAACAGTGTGTAGGCTGCCCAAGGAGACCTTAGGCTTCCCAGGGTCATGCAGAATTGAGTGCAACGGCCTACCATGTTTAGTTTGGTCAGGGGGCTGCGAACTGGGCACGCTACAGTTCCCAGGATCCTTAGGGCATCTGCCTGCACTTCAAGTGTGCTTTAAACGCGGGGGGTGTACGCAGCCCCCCCAACTCTGGCCAGCTCATGCCAAGCCTCGCACCCTCTCCTCGTCACAGGCCCGTCGACTCCATTTCACGAATGGTTGCGCCCCGACGTCAAGTCCAAAGGCAATTTGCCTGTGGGGACTTAGAAAGGAGGCGAAACCTGGGGGTCGTAACCCCCTTCTTTGGCCCAGCCTGAGGGACAGTGGGTGTGTGACCGGGTGGGGGGTGGCCAGCCCTAGGCCCGTGACCGATGGCGGGGCGGAGGCGAGGGTCCGACATGGAGACCCATGTGCATGAGTGATGGGGCAAGTCATGGGAACCTCACCCCGAGCCCGTCACGTGGGCCGGCAGATGGGGCGCGAGGAAGGCGGGGGGCTGCTGAGCAGGGGACGGGACAATAGGGCCTGCCTCGGCCCCTTCTGACCCAGCCCATTGTCCGCCATGCCGGGCCCCCCGCAAAGCCTCTCTCAACAGCCGGGCTATGGGGCCTCCCTGGCCAGCCATGCAGTTGCTAAGGCGGCCTTGAATGGTGGCATCCATCAAGATGTCAAGGGGGGGACACAATCCCGTCTCCCCACCTCCCTCGCCCCCCTTTTCTCCACAGAGCCCATTGTCATCACCCGGAGTTTAACTTTGTGCCGGCCGGCCGGCTGAGCAAGCGGCCCTCCCTCTGAGGGGATTAAAGTCTCTTTATTTATTTCCCCCACTTCGCACAGCAGTTTCCATCTGTTTGGTTTGGGAGCTTATGGGGTTGGGGGAAAAAGAGAGGGAGGTTGTCTGGGGCGGCCACGTGGGCAGCGCCCGTGTGTGAACACCCCAGGGATCCTGCGGAGAAGAAGGCCCTCTCCCCTGGGCTGAGCCTGAGGAGGGAACCTGAGGAGAAAGTCCAGCGACTTGACTTTGCTTTTCAGGAATTTTAGGCGCCACTGCTGAGCTCAGGCCCCAGAAGTGAAGTGAGCTGCTATGAGCGCCCCTGAGATCTTATGATGAGGAAGGGTGGCACAGAAATAAAATAAAATAAAATAAAATAAAATTCTGGTCCTCATGGTGCTGGATAAACGGCTGGCTTAACTTGGAAGCTGACTTATTCTGAGTCAAAGCTTTAGCCCATCTCGCTCAACATTGTCTACACTATCAGTCTACAGTCAGTCTACACTGACTGGCAGCAGCTGTCCTGGGTTTCAGGCAGGGGAAACTTCCAGCCTTAACAGGAGAGGCCAAGGAGTGAACCAGGGATTCGTCTCAGAAGTAGAATCTGACTTTATTTATTTTGTCATGGGTAGACTGTAGTTCAGTGGCAGAGCACGCAGAAGGTTCTGGGTTCAAATCCTGACATCTCCAGGTAGCAACCCAGCTTGAAAAGCTGGAGAGCAGCTGCCAGTCAGTGCACTGAGCTGGCTGGGCCAATGGGCTAACTTTGTGATGAAGTAGCTTCCTTTTGTTCTGGTCAAACCATCCCTTTCTTTACAAACGTGAGGACCGTGATCTGAATGTATTTTATAGAATCATGGAATCGTAGAGTTGGAAGGCACCACCGCGATCATCTAGTCCAACCCCCCACAATGCAGGAACCCCTTGCCCAACATGGGGCTTGAACCCACAACCCTGTGATTAAGAGTCTCACGCTCTACCTACTGAGGGAAAGGATCATAGCTCAGGGCTAACCCACACGCTTTCCTTGTAGAAAATCCCAGGCATCTCCAGCTAGGGCTGGAGAAAGACTGGAAAGCCTCTGCCAGTCCGTGTAGGCAACACTGGGCTCAGTAGGCCGATGGTAGAAAACTAATACCAGGGTTCCTTAGTGGTAAAGCACAAGATTTGAAGCTCCTGGGTTCAATCCTGGGCCTCTCTAGTTAGAAAAGGATTTAGAGCTGGGGATTTTGGAACGATCTTTCCGGGCCTGGGACCCTGGGAGAGTCATGGCTAGGCAGGGGAGTTAGAACGGGCCTAGGCAGACCCGATGTGTGTGTGTGTGACACCTATAAGTCAGCTTTGTTACGCTCCAGGTGTGCTGGAGCCCCCATCGCCAACTCACACATGTTTAGAGGACACAACGCCTGCTGCCAACCTGTCCCACTGTGTCTGAGGACCCTCCTGCTCATTCGGCTGAGTGGGGCCCCCAAAACTCTGCCTTAAAATCCATTGCGTCACCACCTTCGTTCTGCCCGGACACTGAGGTCCAGCGCCAAGGGCCTTCTGGCGGTTCCCTCATTGCGAGAAGTTAGGTTACAGGGAACCAGACAGAGGGCCTTCTCGGTAGTGGCCCTCCCTTCAGATGTGAAGGAAATAAGCAGCTACCCTCTCTTTAAAAGACATCTGAAGGCAGCCCAGTTTAGGGAAGTTTTTAATATTTAATGCTGTATTGTTTTTAACACTTGATTGGAAGCCGCCCAGAGTGGCTGGGGAAGCTCAGCCAGATGGGTAGGGTATAAAAAATAAATTATTATTATTATTATTATTGCCTTACAAGCACCACACCTGCCCCAGCTGTGTATGACTTGGAGCCCTTGCCCACACGCCCTCAACCCCTCCAAGTCTGGGACGCAAGCCGACGTGTGGCAGAGCGTGCTGGGAGCGCATCATTTCGGCGTGGTGCCAACCCACCCCTCACCCCAAATCCAACTTCCTTCTTTTTTGTCCCTTTTTTTGGCAGACACCCCGACTGTCGGAAGGTGTGGCCAGAGACAGAGCTGGCCCTCTTTGGTCTGCGGCCAAAAAACACGGCTTGTGAATGAAATGCCTCTTGGATGTGTTGTGTGGGTGGGCAAGGGGGGGGGGAGAGAAGAGGGGGCAACGACCCCCAATGGGGTGTGGTATGGGCCAGGAAGTGAGGGTGAAAGGAAGCGAGATTAGCCCCTTTGAAGCTATAGAAATCGCCCCACTCGGAAGCCAAGAGGCTCTTAATTGCCCTTGTTCTTCCCCAAGTCCCCAGAGCTAATTTTAGACTCCCGTTCAAGGCTCTTTGGCAGTCAGAGGCAATTTGGGGACATAAGGGGAGGGGGATGAGGGGGTTTTTTGTGGGGGGAGGGAGAGCAGTGAAGACGGGGTCTTGGCACGAGAATTGCAGGATGAGAAGGAGCAATGTCACCTCTTTGCTTGTTGTTGTTGCAAACAATGATTTAATAATAATCATTGTTGGTTATTAATAATCATTGTTGCTAGTTAGTTTACTACATTTATATCTCACTTTTTCCTCCCTCCAGCTTCCTCTGCTCTTTTTAAAAATCATCTCTTAGTTCAGAACAATGAGGACTGGAATCTTACTATTGTATTTAAGGGAAGAGGTAGATCATCTGCTTTGCGTGCAAAAGGTCCAAGGTTCTGTCCCTTCCATCTCTAAGTAGAGCTGGGAATTGTCCCCTCTCCTGAAAACATGGAGAGCTGCTGTCAGTCAGTGTAAACAATATTGAGCTAGATAGACCCAAGAGTCTGAAAGTAAGAGATGTTTTTTTTGTTGATTGAGTACAGAGAAGTTCTGTTTTTCTCTCAAGGGCAAGAGCTATAACTCAGTGGCAGAGTGCCTTTTTAAAAAAAAAAACTTATTGTTGATTTTAATTATTTTTCAAAATGTTTCAAATAGCTGTTTTTACAGATAATTTTATTCTTCATTTTGCAAAGCACTTTGAGGTTTCTTTGGGTTGTTGTTTTTATACAATCAAGTAGTATATAAATTTTGTGGAGACGACCAGTTAAATTCTTCTGGGGAGCAAACTCTTTTCTGTCAGAATGCCTGGTTTTAACAACTGTCTTATCCGTGCAAAGTATTTTGTTTTTGGCAATGGCTTTGGCAAACGAATAAATAATACTTGTATTCGTTTTCTTCTCTTCTTTTGTAAATTTCATTCAGGTTTTGCTTAGGGTTTTCTGTTTTCCGATCAAGCGGTATACAAGTTTTATTTATTTCATAAAACGTGTACGCCGCTTGGTCGTAAACAAAGCAAAACGAAACCCAACAACCCTCAAAGCAAATTTTATGAAATAAATAAATACATATCCTGTTGCTTTTAAAACAAACAAACAAACAAACAACCACCCACCATGGATGGTGGAGTCTGGCTTGCCAGGCCTGTAAATCTTATTCTTTCTCACAGGCCTGGCCTACCCTTCAGAGCTGGCGTTCCTCTTGGAGCCCAGCGACGTGATCGCCATCCGAGATCGCCCGCTCCTCTTGCACTGCCAAGTGGAAGGTGAGGCGCCCATCGCCATCACCTGGTACCGGAACGGGGCAGCCCTCTCCAACGACAGCCATGCCACCATCTTGTCCAACGGCTCCCTGCGGCTGGAAAGCGTGCACCGGCGGCCCCGGGGAGGCGGAGCGGCGGACGCCAATGCCACGAGCGACTCCAGCGCCGGAGAGTACAGCTGCACTGCCCAGAACCGCTACGGCCTGCTGGTCAGCCGCAAGGCCCGAGTGCAAATTGCGAGTGAGTTTGGGCCGGCCAAGATGGCCGCCATTTGGCGCTATCTTCTGTGGGTTCAAAAAGGATGCAGTGGGCGGGCTGGGAGCAGCGCTGGATTTAGGGTGGTGCGGGAAGTTATCCCACAATGGGTGAGGAAGTCAAGGGGGCTCCAAACCGAGAAGATCTATCATGGAGAAGATCCATTTGGGGGTTCAAATTTGTGCCAAGCCGAGAGGGTCCAAAATGGAGAAGTTCCATAATTGGGAAGATCCGTTTTGGGAGGGTGCCAAATTTTGGCCTTGTACAGGGTGCCATATTACAAAAAATTTACCCAAGTCCACCCCTGGTGGGAGTGTTTTCTTGTTTCGTTTCCATGCTTTTTATTAACTCTGTAATTTATACATCGGGGTGGAGGCGCTCAGGCCTGAGGGAGGTTATATTCGGCTCTCCAGACCTTTCTGCCTGACCCTCAGAAATCTCCTCAGGCAGAAGGACCTGGGTTCAATCTTCAGCATCTCCAGGTAAGTCTGGGAGAGACCTCCTGGAGAGTCACTGCCACTCAGTGTAGGCCAGGCTTCCTCAACCTCGGCCCTCCAGATGTTTTGAGACTACAATTCCCATCATCCCTGACCACTGGTCCTGCTAGCTAGGGATCATGGGAGTTGTAGGCCAAAAACATCTGGAGGGCCGAGGCTGAGGAAGCCTGGTGTAGGCAATACTGAACTTGATGGACCAATGGTCTGACTCCATATGAGGCAGCTCCCTCTGTTCCAACTGTCTTGCTGACCATTATTACTCTTCTCCCACCAATCCAAGTTTGGATTGTAACGTCCTTGGGTCTGGGATCTCTTCCTCCGTCTCTTACACCACACGAACTGTAATGTCCTTGGGGCAGGGGCTTCCGCTCCCAAAAGTGCCATGCATGCTGACGGTTCTACGTACAGCTGTAGCTTGGTTCTCAAACATAATCCGTTCCGGAAGTCCATTCTGTGGGATGCAAAACTTATAGCAGTCAAGTACAACATTCCTACAGTGGACATGTTAGGAGATGTTTTGTACCACTCAGGAGAAGACTTCCTATTTCCTCCTGAGTTGGAACAGACTTCCACTGCATGTGACTTGAAGAGGGTATGCTGTGTTGCACTAGCACATGGCCTCCATGTTCTGATCGGTGTGTGCTCTCCATTTTGTATGTTGCTGTGTGTTTGGAGAAGTGACAGCTTAGTCGCAGTCACTTGTTGGGACTAACTCCTTTATGGAATAGTTCTAGTTGTTACGTAACCTAAGCCTGCCTTCAGGGATATGTTTGTGAACCTGAATGAATCTGTGAGTAAACTACTTTTATATTAACATTAATCAGATTCTTGTGTTTATTCTTTTTAAGAGGGATTAGAAGGGATTTTACCATGAAGGGATCTTTAATAGTAAGACTCAGATGAGTCAGGAACAAGCTGATTGCTGCATAATTTAAAAAGTGGGATGTTTGGAACTCTGCTGGAATACGGAACTTGCTAGCGCAAGTTAGGAAGGATATCATTCAATAATATATCCTCTCCTGCCTCCCTAATCATCCCCACACATTTGACTTCCGAAAACGTTCAATAGCCAAGGCCTGGCTTCCGATTGGTTGTGGGAGCTTCCTGCACTCAGTCGGAAGCCGTGGGAAGCCGTGTAGGATGTTTGGCTTCCGGAAAACGTTCGCAGACCAGAACACTCATGTCTGGGTTCGCCGCGTTTGGGAGCCAAAACATACAAGTCCCAAGGTACTGAAGCACGTGAACGTAAGCTTGGCGTTAACAAGGATCAGGCAGACTCAGCAATGGAGAATAAGAAGGTGAAGTTTATTGCCAGGCAATAAGGACCCAGTTTGGAATCTCTTCCAAAAGGAACTGGGACCCCGATTGACAGAAATCCAGAGGTCTTTATACCTGAGCAGATCACAGCAAATCATAGATCATGAGACAACCATGAGGCAGTCACGATATCGCCAGTGAAAATTAGCCAATTAGCAAGCTTCTTGCCATGCTTCCAGCTCCTGGTCAAGCACTGGTCAAGCATGGAGTTCTAGTTCTGCTTTCCGCTGCTTGCAGTGATGCTCTGTCTAACCTCTAGTTATGACAGGACAGGGAGTATTGGAGATTTTGCGGTTTAGCTCTTCCTGTTCTGTGGATTAATTTAGCCTGTATCTGAGGGGATTTTGTACCAGTATCTCTGATTCACGTCTTCCCCTTGTCCAGGGTACACGGATGTTTGTAGGGGAAAGGTCGGCTCCTAATTTTGCTGTTTCAAGCAGTATGCAGTTAGCTAAGGCACAACTTCCCTTTGATTCAAAATGGATTATACAATACTGTAAGACCTGATTATGTGTGAGCATATATGAATATATTGATTACTGATAACTGATTATATGAATTGCATAAGGGTAGCCCTTCTTCCTTGCCTCAGTACGACTGTAGATGATGCCAGCAACATTGGTGGGGCGAGCTCTGCATGCGTCTTGGGGGTGGCGGTGGTGATCGCGCCCTGTTTCTCCCCGCAGCTCTGTCCAAATTCCACATGCACCCGGAATCCATGGCCGTAGAAGAGGGAGGCGTCGCCCGGTTCCAGTGCTTCATCCAGGGCGTCCCCGAAGCCACAATAACCTGGGAGCGCAACCGCACAGCCCTGCTGACGGATGACTACCGGTGAGCTCTTGAAAGGGCCTGGGGTGCTGGTGGTACGGTTGGAGGGGACTGGTGCGCTTGTGTGTTATGGATTTGGTTTGTGGTGAGTGAGTGTAAGGTGAGGGAAGGAAGCGTCCCAGGAATCAGCAATAACCAACAAGGCAGGACTTTGGAAGGGAGCAACGTCCCAGCTAAAGAGGACGGGCAACTCAAGTTGATAGAATATGCACAACTTGCAGGTTTAACATACAGCATAAGAGAGGAAGAAGAACATACCGTATTTTTCCGTGTATAAGACTAGGTTTTTCTCCTTAAAAATAATGTCAAAAATTAGGGGGTGTCTTATACACGGATACATCTCCCCTCATTTTCTTAAATCTGAGTCCCCCAAAATAGGGGGCATCTTATATATGGGGGCGTCTTATAGATGGAAAAATACAGTTTAAAGCAGATTAGAAAACGTTTATTGAGTACATGGGAAATAGCTGTATACAGCTGAAAACACTGACAGCGTTAAGATAAATTCAACAGAGTAAATAATTCTTGATGGGTGTAAGGGTGGAAAATTGATTTGAATGGTTATAACAAAATATGCAGATGGATGTAAGATATGTAAAATGGAAAGAGAAGAAGGGAAGTTGTATAGTTTAAAGTTTGTAAAATGTTGGTTTGAAATTGTAAAACAGAAAATTTAATGAAAGTGTGTGTATGTGTGTGTGTGTGTGTGTATATATATATATATGTGTGTGTGTGTATATATATATATGTATGTATAAAACCAAGGCAGGACTTGGGGGCAAAGTCCTGGGCTTCACCTCCTGCCAACCTAGCAGTTTGAGAACATGTCAAAGTGCAAGTAGATAAATAGGTACCACTCTGGCGGGAAGGTAAACGGCGTTTCCGTGCGCTGCTCTGGTTCTCCAGAAGTGGCTTAGTGATGCTGGCCACATGACCCGGAAGCTGTACGCCGCCTCCCTCAGCCAATAAAGCGAGATGAGCGCCGCAACCCCAGAGTTGGCCACGACTGGACCTAATGATCAGGGTCCCTTTACCTTTACCTTTACCTGGGCCTCACTCAGCTGCTGGTCACTTAGCAGAGTTGGTAGATTTGTCCTGCTTCCCTACTCCCTTCCATTTTCCCCCTATCCATGTTATCCATTTCACTGGGCATCATAAGCCATCTCTAAGTCCCAAAGGCTGCAGCCTTCCTTGAAAGGGGATCCACTCCCCCGCCGGCCCAGGGGAGGCGGGAGACCCACTTCCAACCTCTTCTCTGTTTCATTCTCTCTCTTCCTAATTCTGCCAGGTACACGCTGCTCCCCACTGGGATCCTTCAGATCACGGGCGTGCGGCGTTCCGACGTGGGCACCTACCGCTGTGTGGCCAGCAACATCGCCAACACCCGTTACAGCCAGGAAGCCATGCTGAGCATTAGTGGTGAGAATCAGCCGAGGGCCATCCAGCCCTCTGCAATACAGGACCCACAGCTGAATCACATCTGGGATGAGGCAGGGAAGCCAGCTGATTTTCCTTGGGGGGTATTTGGAAAATTGGCCGCTGGTCTAGTGAGCTAGAGAGAGGGCGTGGAGTTGGCAAGGTGGGGCAGGGGTTTCTCTGGGGTGCTTTCGAAACCAGAAGTTGTATCTGACGAAGTTGAGATTCCGATAGCTGAGATTCCTTTGCATTGCAGGGGGTTGGACTATATGACCGTAGGTGTCCCTTTGAACTCTAAGATTCTATGAAGTTCTATATAGAACTGCTACATAGAACCCTATATCGGGCACGTGTGTTAACTTGGGTGGGCCTACTCTGAGCAGGGCTAAGAATGGATACAAATAACACAGAAAGATGCCTTGCATTAGGAAGAACGGCAAAGAAAAAAATATATGTGTCCATCAGGAGAAACGCACGCTAAAATACTGAGAATTTTTTTGTGTGAGGGCTTAGAAAAGAAGTTTGTGAGCTGATGCGGAAATGTGGAGAACTGGACTGAACTCTGGGGAAACAAGAAGCCAAAATGAACAGACAGCATTAATTAAAGAAAGGTCCAAGTTGTCAGTCCCTATGGCTGAATCAAGGAAAAACGAGGAACCGAGGGAAACCGTAACTGGCAGATTAGTAAGAGCTGCCTCTTTCAGAGGCTAAGCTCGGATTGCTTTCTGTGCCTCTGGAAATGATGGGCTCAGAAGTTCAGGGGGACGAGGCACCCACCTCATTTCCCCTCCATTCTCTCTCACCAGTCTCAGTGGCCAAGCTCTACAAGGAGCCGGTCATCCTCTCCGGTCCGCAGAACCTGACCATCACAGTGCACCAGACGGCCATCTTGGAATGCATCGCTACTGGCAACCCTCGGCCGATCGTGTCTTGGAGTCGCTTGGGTGAGTGGGGAAATTGAGAGAGAGTAATCATATTTGTGTAACCAGACCTCATGCCATTATGGAGGGAGAGAGAAGCTTTTCTGTGGAGGTCCGTGTTTGCGTGACACTGGCACACTCGCCGTCCCTACAAATCTTAATGTCTCGCCTTCTCTCTCTCTCCTCACAGACGGACGTTCCATCGGCGTTGAAGGGATCCAGGTCCTGGGAACTGGGAACCTCATGATCTCAGACGTGTCCGTGAAGCACGCCGGAGTTTACGTCTGCGCTGCCAACCGGCCTGGCACCAGGGTTCGCCGTACGGCACAGGGCATCCTCATGGTTCAAGGTGAGTGTGGGCCTCAGCGGACCAGGGTGGCGGTGTCTGGCTAGAGTACTTGGCCTGCGTTGCATTCCTTGTCCTTTCTGCCATCGGTGGGGAGAGTGTCGGGCGGTGTGCGGCGTTCTGCATGGAGCAGAAATTAAAGGGAAGCATGCGATTCTGAGCATGTGCAAAGCGTATGCCCTTTTCTCAGCACACCTAGTTTGTCCAGAACCAGTGCAGTGTACTGATTAAAGTGCCAGACTAGAACCTAGGTTAAAATCCCCATTGGGGATTATAGTGGTACCTCAGGTTAAGAACTTAATTCGTTCTGGAGGTCCATTCTTAACCTGAAACTGTTCTTAACCTGAGGTACCACTTTAGCTAATGGGGCCTCACACTGTCGCCACATGATTTCTGTTCTCATCCTGAAGCAAAGTTCTTAACCCGAGGTAATATTTATGGGTTAGCAGAGTCTGTAACCTGAAGCGTCTGTAACCTGAAGCGTATGTAACCCAAGGTACCACTGTATTATTATTATTATTATTAGTATTATTATTAAAAAACCAGTAACACGCCCACCTCAAAGTGATGTGGAGATATGGAGATATTGCAACTGTTTGGGAAAAAATGATAAAATGAGATAAAGTGAAATTGGCAGCTTTTTTTATATAAAAAATCCCCAGGTTTCTAGTCCCTATGGTAGAATTGAAAGCATGTGAGTTATGCCTGGTGGAGGAATCCAGAAAACCAGCAGACATCTGATTAGACACTAAGTGGACTAGAATGGCTATGCAGGTTCCAAATCTTCCTTATCATGCTTATTTTAATAGCCGACGTAGGTGGGAAACAGAACTTCCATGTTCAGGTATAGCCTGCCTCTGAACGCCAGACCCCGGGGAGAGCTGTTACCATTGTGCTTGTGGACTATCGGGCTGGACGCTGACGGAATCAGGATACTGGGGATAGCGGGATTGTTTCGGTTTAACCCCTCAAGGCTCTTCGCCTATGTGAGCGTCGGGGCAAGAGGTTTCCCCCTCCCCTTGGGATTTTGCAACAGACAAGCCTTCACCCCCCCCCACATCCTAACACTGATTAATCTTCCCCCCAGTAATCACCACCATCAATGTCAACACAAGCCATCAAGAGGGGTGAAGCGGTTTCGTTGGAGCCTCATAAATGTTTTACTGGGGTTCTGAATCTGTCGGCCGGTGACCTAACCCGCCACCATGTTTTTGCCTGTGAAAAATCCCTGATTACGCTGGTAAAAACATCTCTGAGTCCGTAAGGCCTCCTAAGTCCGGCTACAAACCCCGGTGACCTTTGCCTCCCGGACACAAAGTCCTGGACGCCTCACCATGAACGGCTCTTCTCCTCAATTTTCTGCTCGACAGAAATTGCAATGTCCCCTTGTCTTGGCTCTCTCTCTCTCTTCAAGGTGTTTTGTCCCCGATATCAGTTTCATTTCAGAACATCTCGCTGCCCCCTCTCCTTGCCTCTCTCCCCCGCCCCGCCGCTTTCTCATCTCAAGGGTTGATGAGAGGCAGGATCGAACCAGCCCCCAGAGCGGCCATCGATTCTGGGCCGTGGCTCAGATAAAGAGATGTGGGGTCGATTCCATGACCCATGTGCTGAGGACAAAAGGGCCTTGGGGGTGATTGATGGGAGCAAAAAAAACCAAAACAGCCACCCCACAACCCTGTCAGGAGAACGGCGTCGGCCAAATGGACCCCTTGCGGTGGCGGTGAATTCGGAATTGCCAGGGCTCTGTTTTCATACAAAGGTGTGTGTGTGTGTGTGAAGAAAGCAGCGGTCTGTGTTGGGGAGTCAAGGGATACAGGAACGCCCCTTAAGCCTTCCTCTACCCCCTTCAGCACGTGAGCTGTGGCTGTTCAAGGGTCCGCAGGAGAGGTCAAGGGTGCGATGAGAAGGTGGGTGAAGATGGAGTCTCCGAGGTTTGGCCGGCATGTCTCAGCTGGGAATGACACACTTGACTTTGCGGGGTGAAAGGGCAGAGGTCATGACCTCCTCGTCCACACACACACACACTGCTGCCAGATCCCCTTCGATTTCTTCTCTCTAGGATGACACATGAATATGGACTTGGAGGTGAAAATGGAAAAATAGGAGGATCAGTCCATTGTTAAGAGGCAAAGAGGTGTTTAGCGTGGGGGTCAGCCCCCTAAGCTATCAGAAGTGTTCAGGTGCAGAATGGGCTGGCTTAGAGGTCCGCTGCTTAGATTAAAAAGGGGGTGGAGAGTGTTAGGCTGTTGGGACAGTGGGTCCCTCTCCCAGTGTGGTGCAGTGGTTAGAGTGTCGGATTAGGACCTGGGCAAGATCAGGGTTCGAATCCCCCCCTATCCCATGCAGCTGCCCTTGAGCTCTCTGGAGGAAAAGGTGGCATTAAAACCGATATACTGCGGAGATGAAAGGAACATTAGGAAGGTGACTTAGAGTATGTCAGGCTATTTCTTCACCTCCAGAATACCACAACACATAGTCATTGCTGTTTCCACTTTTTATATTGTAATAATCAAACTATTAGCATGTAACATCATTAATTACCTAAATTATAGCAATAGAAACAGCCATGGCAAATGACTAGGTCAACACACACCACAATCGCCTCATTACGTAAATCATGTTCAGAATACCACAAAACATAATAATAGTGATATGATATGTTATTGCCACCAGGAACTGTGCTTTGCAATTTTTTGATATGACAGTTACAGTTTTATTGTATATAATGTTATGTTACTTTACAGCCAGTTAAGTGTGTGTTGTGGTATTCTGAACATGATTTATGTAATGAGGTGATTGTGGGGTTGACCTATTTATTCACCTAGGCAAGTATAGCTTACTCTGGCTGGCAGCATCCATCTAGGCGCTCAGGTTATAAAGGTTCTTCCCCATTGCCTGCCTGCTTCTAACCACGGATGCCAGAGATGGAATCTTCTGCATTCATAGCAGGTGTTCTGTGGCATTCGGAGCAGAGGAAGCCACTTCGGCCTGAGTCAAGCTCTTGACCCAGCTAGCTTACCATTGTCCTCACTGACCGGCAGCCCAAGGTTTCAGGGAAGGGACGGCTCTCAAGCCTTCCGGGAGAGGCTGGGGGACTGAACCTTCTGCAGGCAAAGCAGATTCTCTCCCACCCAGCTGCAACCCTTCCCTTAAAAAGAATGCAAGGTTCTAGTCCTCAAACTTTTGAACAAAGGCCAGTGGCTCTCCAGGTTTTCAGGTGTGGGACAACTCCTAGCCTTACTTGGAGAACCTGGGACCTTCTGTCTGCAAGGCAGGTGCTGTATTCCTGAGCGATGGCTAGGGGGCTATCCAGAAGGCCCGGGGGGGGGGGTATCTCTATGTCCCTTCAGATTCTTTTAAACTCCCTGCTTCCTGACCTCCTGTTATCTCCCAGCTCCGCCAAGAGCAAGGGTCCGAGCGAGCATATGTTTCAGGGTGGTTGCTGGGCGTGTGAGAGGGTGCGCAGATTCCTCTGGCGCATTCTATGGGGCACAGGGAAAGGGCAGAGTTCGCTCTCTCGCCCCCTTCCATTGCCATGCCGGCCCCGTCTGGACGACAAAGCCATTTTCAAGTGAGGGGCCGTCTCTCCTCTCCTTTGTTTGGGGGGCGAGGCGGGGAGGGGCCCGCTGTGCATTTCCCAGCCCTTTGGCGAGCTAATGAGATGCGGCCCGTCTCGCAAGCTTAAAGCTTCTTTTCTGGAGGGTGTCAGGCCTTTCAATGTGACATCTGCCTCCGAGGCCGCTCCCACGCTGCGGCCAGGGGTGGGTGGGGGGATGTGGAGAGGGGCTCCTCTCGGCTGTGGCGCAGCTGGGGGACCAGGACCGATCCATGGGGCTGTGGCGCCCGAGCCCGATTCCTTCCACAGCCAGCCTGCACTGCAAAGAGGGATTTAGATGTCGTTCGAAAATGGCTCCAAAAAGTCCAGTTCAAAACTTAAAGGAGGCCACATGCCATATCATATTGCCTTAAAATTTGTGGCTTTCCCTCTGAGAATATTGGGAACTGGAGTTTGCTACTGAGCTACAATTCCTAGTGTGGTTTAGCACCCCAGGGAACTCTGGGTATTGGACGGGAAGAGGGGGGTCTCTTAACAAAACTCATCACCCTTAGCAAACTGCACTTAAAGCATCAACATACACAGAGCCCCCAAGTGTCCCTATTTTCCAGGGACATCCCTGATTTAGAGAAGCCGTCCCAGTTTCTGATTTGATCCTGGAATGTCCTAAAACGATGGAGGGTATGGAGTTATCAGAGCCCTCGAACCATCTGAAGACAATCCTGTATACAGTGTTACCTCGGGTTAAGTACTTACCGTATTTTTTGCTCTATAAGACGCACCAGACCACAAGACGCACCTAGTTTTTGGAGGAGGAAAACAAGAAAAGAAATATTCTGAATCTCAGAAGCCAGAACAGCAAGAGGGATCGCTGCGCAGTGAAAGCAGCAATCCCTCTTGCTGTTCTGGCTTCTGTTGATAGCTGTGCAGCCTGCATTCGCTCCATAAGATGCACACACATTTCCCTTCACTTTTTAGGAGGGAAAAAGTGAGTCTTATAGAGCAAAAAATACGGTAATTCATTCTGGAGGTCCGTTCTTAATCTAAAACTGTTCTTAACCTGAGGTACCACTTTAGCTAATGAGGCTTTCTGCTGCCGCTGCGCCGCCAGCCCACGATTTCTGTTCTCACGCTGAAGCAAAGTTCTTAACCCGAGGTATTATTTCTGGGTTAGCGGAGTCTGTAACCTGAAGCATCTGTAACCTGAAGCATCTGTAACCCGAGGTACCACTGTAAAGGTAAAGGATCCCTGACAGTTATGTCCAGTCGCGAACGACTCTGGGATTGCGGTGCTCATCTCGCTTTACTGGCCGAGGGAGCCGACGTTTGTCCGCAGACAGTTTTTCTGGGTCATGTGGCCAGCATGACTAAGCCACTTCTGGCGAAACCAGAGCAGCGTACGGAAACGCCGTTTACCTTCCTGCCGTAGTGGTACCTATTTATCTACTTGCACTTTGATGTGCTGTATAGGGAAGCTTTAAAAATGTTTAATGTTTTATTATGTTTTTATATGTGTTGGAAGCCACCCAAAGTGGCTGGGACAACCCAGTAAGATGTGTGGGGTATATTGTAAAATTATCATTATGGAAGGGGACGCCCCTATTTTCATCGGAGAAAGGTTGAAGGATATGCATACACCTTCAAGCAGTCTTGGCTTCTCCCAAAGCATCCTGGGAACAGTAGTTTGTTAAGGGTGCTGAGGATACCCCTGTTCGCCTCACAGAGCTACAATTCCTGGAGTGGTCAAATGGTCAATCCCTTTTCCAAGGGAATTCTGGGAATTGGACCTCTGCGAGTGGGACTTCCTAACTACTCTCATCATCCCTAACCAACTACAATTCCCAGGTTTCTTTGGGGGAAGCCGTGACAGTTTAAAGTGGTATATGCTGCCCACATTAAACGACTGTGTGGATGAGCCCAGAGAGAGAAATTGGCTGCTTTCGGAGCAAACGGAAGCAGCAATTCAGGACGGGGGGGCGGGCGGAGATGATTTAGGACGAGTTGCATTCGCTTAACACAATGATTTCTTTTAGTTTCTTAGCGAAGGAGAACCAGGAAAGCATTTTGGTGGATCCAGAGAAGGGGGGAGGAGGGTCAGAAACTAAGAACGATGTGCGAAATCTAATAAGTGAGGGGGTTTTATTTTATTTTCTGCCCATTGCAGAGAGCTGTTTTGCTCCTCTGTGTGTGTGTGTGTAATGCCCTCTTCTTTGAAAACTTTTTTTTTTAAAAAAAACCGTGAACAGTACGAAATTTCCAGGGCCTCGTCTCTGTGCAATTTGTGTGCATTCTGCATAATGCAGGATTTGCAAAGAGAGGGGGAGAGAGAGTTCGTGCGTCTGACAGGGTTGAGTGGATTTGTAATTGTGTCTAGCGGTAACTCTGCCCCACCCCACCCCCCACCCCCTGGGGCGGGGGGGGAGGAGGGAGGTGACCCCGGCAACCAGATCCTGAGGGAGAGAGAGGCTGCAAAATGGGCAATGGACATTATTTTTGGCACATCTGAGTCCTCGGAGCCGGAAGAGAAGGGAGCAGGGCAAGGGCAGATTCGGAAAGGGTCACGAGAAACTGTGGCGTTGGTCCACAGAGCGCCATGCGGGTGTGGATGCGCCGAGGGGAGAGACACGGGGTGCGCACACGCAATTCCATGCGTGTTTATGCATGCACATGACTCCAACCCCCCCCTTCTATTTTTTTTGCATTTATGCCCCACACATTTTTCTCTAAGGAGCTCATGCAAAGCAGATGTTTGGCTGCTGAGCTGTAGCCCCCTTCAGAATAGGAGCTTATACCAAGTCACAACTAGCTCAGGGCCCCACTCTTTTGGGGGCCCCCCAAAAAAAAATTAAAGGAAAAAACACACCTGGATGTACATTTCCAAAATATAAGATAAAAAACAAATAAAATAAAACCTACATACAGCAGCAGTGTTTTGTGTTGTGTAGGCACCCATGATGTAAGTCATGGGTAGGCAAACTAAGGCCCAGGGGCTGGATCCGGCCCAATTGCCTTCTGAATCCGGCCCGCAGATGGTCCAGGAATCAGCGTGTTTTTATATGAGTAGAATGTGTTCTTTTATTTAAAATGCATCTCCGGGTTATTTGGGGGGCATAGGAATTTGTTCACCCCCCCAAAAAAAATATAGTGCGGCCCCCCACAAGCACTGAGGGACAGTGGACTGGCCCCCTGCTGAAAAAGTTTGCTGACCCCTGATGTAAGTCATGGGTCTCGCCTGGTAGCCTGCTCCCTAAAATATCACTGGTTTGCTCATTTTTATATATGGGGTGCCTACATTCTGCATGGACTGGTTGCATGGCAACATGCGCAAACGGCTTAAGATACCTATTAGGTCCATAAATTACCATATAACATATATTCAGCACAAAAAACAGCGACAATTTGTTGTTGACGAAGGACAGCTGGACATATAAAGGGCCCCATTACCTTCAGCAGCCGAGGGCCTCATCAGAATTAAATCTTGCCCTGTCTGCATACCCTTCTGCATACAAAGCAAAATCTCTGAGCTTGGGTGCTTCAACCCTGGCCACCCTCTTCTGAACATTTATGGGTGGATAGACAGATCCAGTAAATTAGATAAGGCAGATCAAGCAGGGCAGAGAGGTCTTGCTGAAGTGTTCATTTAGTTTAGAGAAGGGTGATCCTCATGTTCTTATGCCCTTAGGCTTGCTTTTTTCAAACCAGCCATTGCCAGTAATGTTCACGACCCTAAGATGTTGGCTTGGTACCATGACTAAACTTCCCTTCCTCCTCTCCTCTCCCCCTCAGCCCCGCCGGAGTTTGTGCAATGGCCCCAATCTGTCTCCAAGCCCCCCGGCAGCAGCGCTATTTTCACCTGCGTGGCCCAAGGTGTGCCGGAACCCCACCTGATCTGGCTGAAGAACGGCAAGGTCCTGGCGCCCGGCGAGAACATCAAGCTGACGCACAACAACAGGTGAGACCGGGAACGTCCTCAGGGAACACACTTAGAAAGGATTAAGCCAGGGCTGGGCAGTGGTGGCAGCTGGTGCCCTTTGGGGTCTGGTGGGACGGAAGGCAGGGAGCCCAGCAGTAGGGGGCGCCAGAGCCAACCAGAGGAGAGTCAACTAATTCTAGTTTTATCCCCATCCTACTTCCTGCTGAAGGAGCTCTATGTAGAGAGAGGGATGTGTGTCTGTGTCTGTGTGTATTCAGGAAACACAGGAAGAGTGTAACTTTCAAAAGGCTGGAGGGAGAGAGACAGACAGACAGACAGACAGACAGAGAACATTTCTCAGCCATTAAGAACTCTTTATCTCCCTTTTCTCCATCAGTTTGTTAAACAACGCAGATGGCAAATTCCATCCAAATATGATTTCATCTGCTGCTGTTTTTGATTATATGAGTTTCTGATCCACTCCGTGTGTCTTATCTTGGAATACTGCCATGTTGCCTCTGTTGTACAGGCTTCTTTTAATATTTTTTCTTTCCGTCTTTCATCTCCTTACCTTATACCTGACCATGCTCTACTTTCCCCCCTGTTGAATTGTAGGAATACTTTGTTAGTCATGTTGTATACTTAGTAAAACAATAAAACATTTTTTTAAAAATCCTGGAAGCATAGGACGGTCGCAGCATGCCATTATTATTATCAATTATCAATTTTATCCATTTCAATAATTTTATAATCATTTTAACATTTTGAAACCTGACTTCCTTCCCCCCTCTTTCTGCGGTTCCTTAAATTTATTTTTTTATATTTTCTGCATATTCCAAATTACTCATTTATTCATTTGGGGACATTTACCTCCCTTTTCTCTGTCAGGCTACAAAAACTAATAATTCAAAATTCTGTGCCATGTTCACAACAGTCAAGGCAGATGAGTGCCTTAACAGTGGTTAAAGCCTGCACCTGCCGAACCAGGTGTTTTCAAAATGAAAATCAGCAGAGTTGTGCCTTTTTCTAAACAAAAGAGAAGACTTTCCACCTCTTCTGCCACAGCACCTTCTGTCTTTGTCTTGCTAATGCCTCTTTCCCCTCAAAAAAACCTTTCCATAGCACCTTGATGATCCAGCGGATTACCTCAGCGGACGAAGCCATCTACCAGTGCATTGCAGAAAACAGCGCAGGGACCAACCAGGCCAGCGCCCGGCTAGCTGTGGCCCTGTCCAAGGAGCTCCCCAGCTCCCCAGAAGGGGTCCAGGCCACTGCCCTCTCCACCACCTCCATCCAGGTGTCTTGGCTGGAGCCCCCCATGGAAGTGACAGAGGCCATAATCGGTTACGTGCTGCACATCCGCAAGGCGGGAGGTGAGTGGTGAGCCTCACCCCAAATTCCCACCCAAGGTTCACTTTCCAGGCGCAGGTTTGGTGGACTACGTACACCAGGGATGGTGCCGCAGTAGATGGTGCCGCAGTAAAAGATTTCATTTTCTTACAAATGCGGAAGGCATAAACTTGACATGAGCCAACAGTGTGACGCGGCAGCTTAAAAAGCCAATGCAATTCTGGGCCTCATCAATAGGAGTATAGCATCTAGATCAAGGGAAGTAATAGTGCCACTGTATTCTGCTCTGGTCAGACCTCACCTGGAGTACTGTGTCCAGTTCTGGGCACCACAGTTCAAGAAGGACACTGACAAACTGGAACGTGTCCAGAGGAGGGCAACCAAAATGGTCAAAGGCCTGGAAACGATGCCTTATGAGGAACGGCTAAGGGAGCTGGGCATGTTTAGCCTGGAGAAGAGGAGGTTAAGGGGTGATATGATAGCCATGTTCAAATATATAAAAGGATGTCACATAGAGGAGGGAGAAAGGTGGTTTTCTGCTGCTCCAGAGAAGCGGACACGGAGCAATGGATCCAAACTAGAAGGAAGAAGATTCCACCTAAACATTAGGAAGAACTTCCTGACAGTAAGAGCTGTTCGACAGTGGAATTTGCTGCCAAGGAGTGTGGTGGAGTCTCCTTCTTTGGAGGTCTTTAAGCAGAGGCTTGACAACCATATGTCAGGAGTGCTCTGATGGTGTTTCCTGCTTGGCAGGGGGTTGGACTCGATGGCCCTTGTGGTCTCTTCCAACTCTATGATTCTATGATTCTATGTAACGGTGCCAGATCAGAGCGGGTGGTTGGGTAGTTATAGTGTCAGGCGATCCCACAAGTAAGTTGTGTGAGGGGGGTCTTTGCAGGAATGCTCCTACGTGAATAGCCCCAATGGTTAAGAACGGAACCTCCGTTGTTGGGGACAAACTCTCAGGGAAGGTTGTTGATGTTGCGCCCCTCCTGTGGGCTTCGTAAAGGCACCTGATTGGACGCTTTCGGAGAACAGGATGCTGGGCGAGGTGGGCCTTTGGTCCGAGCCGGGAGGTCCCATCCTGATTCCATCCGAAAAATTCACCTCTCTTCCTCCTTGCACCTCCTGCAGAGTCCGACAGCCGGGAGCTCCAGGAGGCCGTCAGCAAGACCACCTTCCAGCACGTCTTCACAAACCTGGAGCCCTCGACAACGTACTCTATCTACCTGAAGGCTTACTCACCCCTGGGCGCCAGCCAGGACTCCCAGCCCATCCTGGCCACCACTCTGGGCAGCAGTGAGTAGACCCGTTGGAGCAGTCGTCCTCCTCCTCCATCTCAGTGCCATTCCTTGCAGATGAGGAAAACGGGGGCGAGACCAGCATTTGTTGGCCGTGCCTGTCGTTGGCTCCGGCTGTACCTGCCCTTGGTACCTCCGCTTCCTGCCCCATCCTTTAAAGCCCTATACGGCCTAGGACCCTCGTACCTATGGGACCGCCCTTACGGTCTTCAAACAAAAACATCTTGGAGGTCCCGGGCCACAGAGAGGTTAAGCTGGCCTCAACCAGAGCCAGGGCTTTTTCGGCTGTGGCCCCGATCTGGTGGAACGCTCTGTCACAAGAGACTAGGGCCCTGCGGGACTTGACATCTTTCTGCAGGGCCTGCAAGACAGAGCTGTTCCACCAGGCCTTTGGCCAGGGCACAGCCTGACCCCCTCCTCCTGTCATCCTCACAGAACTCTAGCCCAATGGTTGCCATTAATCTGATTTGAACTGATTTTATAAAGAAATGATTTTAGACTGTTGTATCATTTTACTGTTGTTAGCCGCTCTGAGCCCGGTTTTAGCTGGGGAGGGCGGGATATAAATAAATTTATCATTATTATTATTATTATCCATTCTTGGTTTGGCAAATTCAGAAGTGCAATCACCTTATAGCTACACAGAGGTCACGATTCGGGATGCATTGCAATGATCATTGCAAATCTCTGTGTGTGGCCTTTCAGCTAGATGCGCTCTTCTCTATGCAAACAACATGGTGTGCTCCAGTATCTTTTTTTTTTTTAGTACGGATGATCATTGAATTGTAGAGTTGGAAGGGACCCTGAGAATCATCTAGTCCAACCCCCTGCAATGCAGGAATATGCGGCAGTCCCATAAGGCGATCGAACCTGCAGCCTTGGCATTATCAGCACCATGTTCTAACCCAGGGGTAGTCAACCTTTTTACACCTACCGCCCACTAATGCATCTTTCTTGATGGTAAAATTTCCTTACTGCCCACCAGTGCTCGGTGGAAGGAGGATTCAGCTTGTGCTGTCAAACCCCCTACTGCCCACCTAGAGTCCTGAAATGCCCACTAGTGAGAGGTAGGGACCAGGTTGACAAACCCTGTTGTAACCAACTGAGCTATCTGGAACGACTCAATTGGTGTTTCCTTTGACGTTCCATTGTACGTAACTGAAATGCACGCCGTTCTCTTGGAACCAAAGCACTTTGTGTCTTTAATGCTCCTAAACGCTTAGCTTGGGAGCATACGGGACAACAACTCCTCGCTGTTTCCCCCTCGCACCTTCTCCAGAGTGACCCTAGGAGCCCGTCCTCAGTGGCCAACTCACCTTCCTTCACTGATTGACTCCAATTGGCACAAAGGGTCGGGACATCTTCTCAGTGGCTAAAATGCTCCCTTTTCATGCTGATTGGGCAGATATAGGACACCGAAGACAGGGACGATGTTGCAGAAATAGTAACAGGTCTTTGACACACACCCACACACACACACACCGCAACCCTGGATCCCTACTGCACTGGGCACCAGCCACAAATGGTAATAGCTGTCAGGGACTGGGCAGAGAAGAAGAGTTTGGATTTTATATCCTGCTTTATCACTACCCTAAGGCGTCTCAAAGCGGCTAACATTCTCCTTTCCCTTCCTCCCCCACAACAAACACTCTGTGAGGTGAGTGGGGCTGAGAGACTTCAAAGAAGTGTGACCAGCCGAAGATCACCCAGCAGCTGCATGTGGAGGAGCGGGGACGTGAACCCGGTTCACCAGATTATGAGTCCACTGCTCTTAACCACTGCACCACACTGGCTCCAGAGGAGGAATGGCAGAGACCGCCTCCCCATCCTGACCCTTCCAGGGAAGGGGAAGAGGAAAGACAGTACATATTTACAACAGGGGTTTGAGGGAGGTCGCAGCTCAGAGGCAGATGAGGGGAAAAGCTGGGGAATCACGAGAGAGCCAGAACAACACATTGTCGTTAGAAAGCATCCCAGACCCTCCATCTCCTAGAACCTGGCGATCCTTAAAGGTAGGAGAGCATACAAATCAGTATGGCTAACCTGATTCAAAAACACCCACCCACTCCACTCACACACGAAAACAAAGTTCACCACAGCCAATCTCAAACAAGCAACCACACCCTAGGCCCACGGTTCTCAACCTGTGGGTCCCCAGATGTTGTTGGGCTACAACTCCCATCATCCCTGACCACTGGTCGTGCTGGCTAGGAATGATGGGAGTTGTAGTCCAACAACATCTGGGGACCTACAGGTTGAGAAACACTGCCCTAGGCCAACCCCAACCTCTCTCACCACCAAAGGAATGCAAGTGAATAGCAAACAGAACCTGCACAAGCGACGCTGACACAAAACCCCACACATACATTAAGTAAAATAGAAACATCGCCACCTGACCCCACCCCTATCCACCATGACCCCCTCCACCTCTTCCTCCCTTTTTCTTCCTAATGCAACCCTACTGTCTCAACAAATGAAACTGACCTATAGAAAATATAACTTGAAAAAAGAGACATTGCACATACTTTTGTAAACCAAGAAATCCATAATAATAATGATAATGATAATAATAATAAGTAGGAGAGCAAAGAGCTCAAAAACAGAGGGCACGTAGCGGCACCCGTAGAGGAGGTTATGATGATGACGAATGACGACGTGGGAGAGACAGGGTGGCGATTCACTTGGGACAATGCCATTATCCAAGAGGCTGGGTTCCAAAGCCTCTCTCTGTAAAGATTGAAATAAAAAAGGACTGTAAGAAACTTTCCCTTGTCTTTATAATTCCCGGGCAACCAGCCGGGAGCCGCTGACAGCTTCCTGACAATAGCATGGGACTGAGAGAGACCCCCAGGTACGGGAGATGCTGTGTCCCTGCTTCTCTCCATCTGGGTGGGAAGGACAGTCACTCACCTTTCCCCCCGTCTACTCAGTCCCCGCAGCACTGGGATTTTTCACCAAGATTCTCAACAACAGTGCCGTCTACGTCTTTTGGGAGCTGCCTGCCAAGCCGGGCCGAATCGAAGGCTTCAAGCTCTACCTCCGAAAGCTGCCCAGCGCCCACTACGAGGGCCCAGAGCTCTTATCCGGCATGGCCAACTCTTTCACGTTCAGCAACTTGGGTGAGTCTCCTCCTGGGCCTCCTGCGAGGGGGACTGTAGATTCAGCTCCCTGGTGTCTCCAGGATCCAGTGGTTGTGGGAAGACGCACTGCAGAGCTGCTGCCGGTCAGAGTAGACAACGCAGAACTACTGTGTTTTTCGCTGTATAGGACGCTCTTTTCCCCCTCCAAAAATTAAGGGGAAATGTGTGTGCGTCCTGTGGAGCAAATGCAGGCTCCTTGGCTTCAGCGATAGCAACACGAAGCCTCCGAAGCGCAGAGGGAGAGCTCACCCCTCGCTCCTTGGCTTTGCATTGCTTTCGCACTCCGGGGGCTTCAGGCAGCTATCTGCAAGCCTTCGGAGCACAGCAGGAGTTGCACACCGATCCCTCTTGCTCTTCAGGCTTCGCTTCGCTGGAGAGGCGCTGCACAGTTTTCCCTCTCTGCGCAGCGCCCTTTCAGTGAAGCGGGAGGAGAAATGGAAGGGGCTCCGTTTCTCCTGCCACTTCGCTGAAGGGGCGCTGAGCAGAGAGGGGGAGAATTTTTTTTCTTGTTCTCCCCCTCCTATGGTCCGGTGCGTCCTATAGAGCGAAAAATACGGTATGTGGACTAATAGTCTGTTCTGGTCTGAGGCAGATTCCTTGCCACATGACGGAGAAATTGCCCCCTACCCCTCAGCTTCCCCCGCTAGCTAGCCCTCAGATTCTCCATCAATGCTGCCCCCTAGTGTTGGCTTCCGTAAACCTGACCTCCACTCCCCTCGCCTTTCCAAACTCTCTCCCACAGAACCATCTGCCATGTACGAGATCAAACTCCAAGCATTCAACGGGAATGGCGATGGGAACAGCAGTGTGCGGTTTGTCTCCCTCAAGGAGAACTCTGAGAGGCTGGGTAAGGACCAGAAACAAACACACACACACACACACACATGCTTCTGCGATGGGGGATAAATTCAATTCTGTTCGCATTTAAAGGCAAATGTACCTAATTTACATTTACCGAAACGATTCACAAACTGGAATGGGGCCATCCTTCAAAATTCATACTTCTCTACAAAAACGCATATACTAGTGAAAATAACAGAAAAAGTGCATAAGTCCATAAGGAAAAACTGCTTTGCAAAAATGTCGATAATTAGGCGAAATTACAAAGGTGTGTCTATTGGGAGAAATTCACACTAAAATGAATTTTCATTAATGAATTTTCATGAGGATTCTTCTAAACACAGACTTATACACACTAGAGTGGCCAAAATTGTGGAAACTTTTGGGATTTCCTAGGTCTGATGTCTCATAACATCAGTCTTTTGTCAGTTTTAAGCAAATCCGCCCCTTCTGGTTATTTAGCTGTAACTTTAGGTAGAACAATTCAATCCAGTTTATTGTGTTTTATCTTCTGCATTACATTATCTTTCTATCGATACATGGTATTTATGCTATTGTTTTATGGTGTCGTTCTAAAAAAGACTGGTGTTCTGAACCACCAAAACTTATAATTGCAACATTTCCTAAAGGTTTCCACAATTTTGGCCTCTAGTGTATATATACATAAACATACGGATGTGATAAATTCATGTGAACAGAACTGAATCTTTGGAAAAACAAGAAATGAAGAGAAACAGAAACCCTCTTGCCTCTCCATCTCTGCGACCTCCATCCCCTAACGACTGTGCTTTGTCCCACAGATGCCAACTCAGTGTGCCAGTGTGGGCAGGACGGGGAGAGCTCCCTTGCTGGCATCGTGGTTGGCGTCCACATTGGCATGGCGTGCATTATATTCTGTGTCCTCTTCCTTATGTTCGGCTACCGCAAGAGGTGAGGATGTAGAGGCTGCTCTGTACGAATCACTTGGACCTCCCAGCATCCCCTAATTTCCCTAGACACCCAAATATAGCAGCGGGGTTTTTTTGGGGGGGGGAGGAGGACCTTATCCACCCAAAGAGCCCCATTCCCACATGCACAATCTTCCAAGGGGTACACCACAGGAAAAGTCCTCAGTGGTGCCATGTCACCTGCTGAACTTTCGATCCTAACCCACAGTTGCCCATGTTTTTTCACCCAGGGCCCTCTGCAAAACTCACAGTACAGTCGTACCTTAGAAGTCGGACGGAATCCGTTCCGGAAGTCCGTTCGACTTCCAAAACGTTTGGAAACCCAAATGCGGCTTCTGATTGGCTGCAGGAAGCTCCTGCAGCCAATCGGAAGCCTCGTCGGGCATTCGGGTTCCAAAATTAGTTCTCAAATCGGAGCAGTCGCTTCTGGGTTTGCGGCATTCAAGAGCCAAAACGTTTGAGAACTAAGCTGTTCGAAAACCAAGGTACGACCGCAGTTTCTTCCTAGAGGTACATCAGTAGATCTTCCTGAAATTCCTGCCTCCGCCTCCCTCTAGGCCCTAACTATATACATAAATAGATTGTAGCCATGATGGCTGGAGTCAGTGTGGTACCATGATTAGGGTGTTGGGATAGGACCTGAGAGCCCAGGGAGCACAAATCAGCCATGCAGCTTGCTAGATGAGCTTAAGCTGGTCCCTGCCTCTCCTCCTAACCAATTTCAACAAGGTTGTTGTAAGGATGAAATGGAGAGGGGGGAGAGAATCATGTCCTTGGAGGAAAGACAGGATATAAACACAAAATTAATAGTTTCCTGAAATGTTTCTTCCAAGTGTCCCCTCCCAGTCTCCTTAACTATAACTACCATGTATATGTGACTCATATGATTGCTTCTAAATTTTGTGACCCTGATGTTACATATGTTTCTTGTAATTTTTATTTTTTTTTACTTTAAGATATTATACCATGATATCCTAGTTTAAAATGTATTACAGTCAAACCTCGGTTCCTGAACAGCTCCGTTTTGGAATGTTTCGGCTCCCAAACAACGAAAACCTGAAAGTAAAGAGTTTTCAAACGCTTTTTGGAAGCTGAATGTCTGACACGGCGTCCGCTGAGTGCAGGAAGCTCTTGCAACCAATTGGAAGCTGTGCCTCAGTTGTCAAACATTTCGGAAGCTGAACAGGCTTCTGGAACGGATTCTTTTTGACAGCCGAGGTTTGACTGTACAGTGGTACCTCTGGTTGAGAACGGGATCCGTTCCGGAGGCCCGTTCGCAACGTGTAAAGCCCGCAACCTGAAGCGCCGTAACTGTGCAGGTGCACAGCGCAATTTGGTGCTTGTGCGCATGCGTGAAGCGCGATTTAGCACTACTGCGCATACATGAGCGGCGAAACCCGGAAGTAACCCTTTCTGGTACTTCCGGGTCGCAACCTGAAAAAACGTAACATCAAGCAAATGTAACATGAGGTATGACAGTACTAGGGGCTGTTACCCCCTGCTCACGGATCCTGCAAAATGCAGTGTGATGCTTGCAATAATATTATATAGAAAGATTTTAAAATAATTAATTTTAAAATAAACTGAAAACAAAATATCATCATCATCACCACCCTGGGCAGATTTCCTATGTACCATTTCAGAAATGTTTCAGGAAAGAACCCCTTCTCTCTACGTCTTCCCTCTACAGCCTGTTCTGTAAGAAAGGGACCCAAGAAAGCTGGACCATCCCACAGGGAACAGAACCGGTGCAGACCACCACACGGGAGCCTCCCCGGAACCAGCGGAAGCTGGAGGGTGGGGCAAAACCCTCAGAGATGGTGGAACTAGTTACCCAGGTGAGGATGGATGTGTGTGTGTGTATACCTGCTCTTAGCTCAGCAGCCTTCCCAGGCAGAACCAAGGTGCCCCAGGGGGAAGGGCCATGGCAGCAGCCCTGCTGATTACATGGGTGAAGATGTAAATCACTGTGATATTGCTTCAGTCAAGGTCTCCTCCAGTGAAACCTGGGAGCTGTTAATGGTGCTGAGAGTTGCTATTCCTCTCCTGGAACCACAATTCCCAGAGTGTTTTAGCAATCGATCCCTCTTCCCGGGAAACTCTGGGAGCTGAAGGCAGAGGGCCTTCTCAGTAGTGGCGCCTGCCCTGTGGAACGCCCTGCCATCTGATGTCAAGGAAATAAACAACTATCTGACTTTTAGAAGACATCTGGAGGCAACCCTGTTTAGGGAAGTTTTTAATGTTTGATGTTTTATCGTGTTTTTAATATTCTGTTGGGAGCTGCCCAGAGTGGCTGAGGAAACCCATCCAGATGGGCGGGGTAATAATAATAATAATAATAATAATTGCTCTGGGAGGGGAATAGCAGCTGTCAGCACCATGAACAAACTACAGCTCCCAGGATTCTTCAGAATTTCCCTGAAAGTGTTATCATAGGTTTTTTAAATGCATAGTGTGAATAAGGCCTCAATTCCATCATATTTTCTCTCCAGAGCTTATACTCGGAGGCTCAAACGGGGGCCGGGGAGATGGCCAGCAGGGTCTGATATATGTGCAGGGCACCCTGGGAGTGAGGAGCAAAGCTTGCGGGCCAAAAGGCGGTGTCCGAAAGGGCAACGCTGTTAACCTGCCTTCCTTTCTCCTCACAGAACCCCCCATCCTCCGATGGACTCACCGCCCATGACACTCCCCACTTTGAAGTGACCGTCGAGCGCTGCCCTCCTTCACAGCCCAGTGGTTAAGCCAATGCCCGGTGGGAACGGAGTAGGGGAGGCCCCTCGACCGAGCCCGGTGGCAGCTCTGTTGAGGCAGGGCCTTCCCCTGCCCCCAATTTCCCACCACCCATCCAGGATTCCAACCGCAAACCTCCAAAGAATCTACCTCACCTCCGCTGGACGGCCAGCCCCATAGCGTCCGGTCCAGCCGCCACCTGAGCCCTACTCCCACCCCAGTTCTCCCGAATGATCTATTTTTGATACAAATACCAAAACTACCTCAACCTGCCAGCCACCCTCTGGCTGCTTAAACCTCACCCACCCCTTGCCAAAAGGGAGAAGGGGTAGTGGCAGAGAGGTGGGGCGACAGGGAGCAGCTTTCCACGGCAACCGGAAGGTTCCGGAACTTGAGGCAGCCATCTTGAGGGAAAACCAGAAAGCGGGGGAAAGAGACAACTTCTCCCTGCTCTCATTCTTGGCTGCCTCAAGAATGGATGTGGATGCTGATCTCCCCCTGCCCAAATTGTGCCGAAGCCAAACCCCCTACGAATTACCGGGGCTTTGGGGAGGTTGAGGCTCCCAAATTACTCCCTAATGAGTCATGTGGTCCATTCGGGGTGGGGCGAGGACCGTCCCTTTCTGACACCTCCCACCCACGGTGCCTGGGCGCTCGGCACCAGCATACCAAATATCGCCAAACCAAAAGTGGGAGCAGCAGCAGCGGACCCCCCCTCTCCCAAATACCCACCTCCGTCCTCTGTCATGAGGGGGGCAATGGGGTGGGACGCTTCACCCAAAGCCTCACATTCCTTTCCCCCTTTTCCATAGCTCCTCTTGCTGCTTCCTACAGAGTGTCTTTTTTTTGATATATATATATTATATATATGACGTCTCTATCCAAATATTTTTTAAGATGATACACAAAAGTTTGCTGAACTGCTTTCCAAAGATGTAGAGCTTTAACCGTGTGTGAGGACAGAGCCTTAGCATTTGACGTTTCTCAGAAGAGGGAGGATGGCGGCCTACGAGGCGTAGGGGGCCGCTGTTAGCCCTCTGGAAACAGCCGCGGCAGCTGGGACCTCCGGCCCGACTGCCGTGGGGCTCTTCAGTTGTAAGGGGGAACGTATTTATTGACAGAACCAAAATGTCCCACCCAGATTCTGGCTGTGGGTGGTTTCTCTCAGTCCCCTGAGGGAGGCCATCCAAGATTTGGTTGGAGGCTCAGTGACTTAGCTCTCCAAATTACTCCCAAACCAGAATTACCTCCAGAACCTCCCTTAGAGCTAAAGAGCCTCGACCGTGAGGCCCACATAGTGTGTCCACCTCAGGGGACCAGACACTATGGTTACACCAGCGCCTTCCTCCTTTTCTTCTTTTCCTTCCTTTCCTGGCCTCTTTCTCTTTTCTCGGACACCAAAGCCGGCATATCAGGATGCGGTGGAAGCTTAGCTTCATCCTCCTCAGGCGGCTTTTTAAAAAAAACGGACGGGGTTTTAACTCAAACCGAAAGCTCGGCCATGAAGTTCACAGCCACAAAAGTCCAGCACATCTCCCCTCTTCGCCTTTTTATTGTTTGGAGTGGACTAAGCTCAGCATTCCTTTGGCTGCCAAAGAGAAAAGAATTGCTACTCTTAATAAGTACATAAATGCTACTCCTGCTCAGAGCATACCGGTTGAAGTTAACGGGCATAACCGGTTCAGAGCCAATGGGTTTACGCTGAGTAGGGAAGTCTTAGCCTAAACATTTAGGGGCAGAAACCTGGAAACTGCATGTACAGAACTTGATTGCCAATGAGTCGGTGGCTTGATTGATAACACTGAACTATCAACCAATTGGTATCAGGGTCTCTGAAAGCCAGCACACTTGACATTGTGTCTCAGACCTTGGTGGCCTCCACTCGTAAACCACCAAAGCTTTCATCTTGCCTTAAAGGTAATGGGACCCCTGACCATTAGGTCCAGTCATGGCCGACTCTGGGGTTGCGGCGCTCATCTCGCTTTATTGGCCGAGGGAGCCGGCGTACAGCTTTGGTTATGTGGCCAGCATGACTAAGCTGCTTCTGGCGAACCAGAGCAGCGCATGGAAACGCCGTTTACCTTCCCGCTGGAGTGGTACCTATTTATCTACTTGCACTTTGACGTGCTTTCAAACTGCTAGGTTGGCAGGAGCAGGGACCGAGCAACGGGAGCTCACCCCGTTGCGGGGATTCGAACCGCCGACCTTCAGATTGGCAAGCCCTAGGCTCTGTGGTTTAACCCACAGCGCCACCCGCGTCCCTTCCTCATCTTGCCTTAGGGCCACCCCAAAGCACTCTCCAAATTCTGCCAGTTCACAACTTTAGCCTTGGCTTCAACTGCTGTCCTTGCTCCAGCAGGGTGATATTCTTGACGCCCAAAGAGGACAACCACCCCACCTATTCTCCAAGGAGCTCAAGGTGGCAAACATGGTTCTCCTCCCCTACCCATTTTGTCCTCACAACAAGCCTGCGGGGTAGGTTAGGCTGAGAGAGATTGGTTGGCCCACTCAAGATTCATGGCTGAGCAGGAATCCTGGTTTCGTGGGTCCTAGACCAAACACCTTAGCCACTCGGACTGTAGAGGTGGACGTACGTGGTCTAGATGATCCCAGCAAAAGCCCCCTAAGCTTTGTCCATGTGAACATGGCTTCACAGTGCCCAGGCTGGTGTCCTTTCCATCTGTCCTTTCCTTCTCTTCCTGATTTTGATTGTCAGCTCTTTCACAACAAAGAAAAGCACAGTCGGCCAGCGTTAGACTGTATGCGAGAGAGAGCGCACGTCCGAGTGACCTCAAAATTTGCCTTGTGCAGGTGTGATTCTCTCTGTGTGCTTGCGGAAAAACGAAACCCTGTTGACCCAAAGTTTTGTGTATGAGAGGAAAAGAAAAAAAAGTATTGTTAGGTAGACGTTTCCTAAAGCTTTGCTGACCCCCTCTTCCCCATTTTTCACCCTAGTTCCTTCTCTAGGAATCATAACCAAAATATCCCCCTTACTTTTCCCTCTTCCCTTTTCCCCTACCAAAAAAAAATATGAAAAAAAAATAATAATACTCAACCTTTTTCTTTTGGATTATTTTTAGTGCTTTAGGCAAAAATGATCTCTTTTCCTAGTTGATGAGAGTTGAGATTTCCCCACCTCCCTTTGATAGACGAGTGTCTCCCAGATAGCGGAGACACACACAGTGGTTCTATGGAATCGCCAGAGGCCGACAGGAAATGGGGAGCTTTCCAACGGCACCCCACTTCCTGTCAAAATTAACTGCCCAATTAAAGCGGGCCCAACCCAGAGTCTGTTGTTCCTCCTTTATTTCTTTTGGTTTTTACATATCCACCGTGACCCACCTCGATTCAAGCATAACCAAAGGTGCTTTTCAAAACCGTTGCAGCTGATCTTCAAAGATGCCCACTGGTGGTCTAATTTCTGGTCACGTGGGAACACGTTTACTATATAGCTTTAAGAAACCACTCGAGCGACTCCACTCGCGTCTCTGTGGCTGGCGGGGGGCTGAATCTGCCCCCCTTTTGTTTCCATTTCACATTATCCCAACCTTAAGCTCATTTTTGTGTCGGTTTGTGCAATTCTTTATTTTTTTAAGACGCCTGCATTAAGATCCGTAGATATTTTACCAGCAGGCAAAAACCGTGTAGAGGAAAATGCAGCTAATAAGCTTCTGATTTTGGAAGCGACTTTCCCAAATATAACAATGAACTCTGGGATTTTGCTTTCGCAAACACACACATCCTTGTGTGCAGAATTTGGAAGGCGAGCTGCGTTTCAGTTTGTGTTCTGGTTCGGGAATCGCGGATCGGGTCGGTCCGTGTTAAAATGCCAACTGAACTCATTTCTCTGAGCCCGTTTCCTCACATGCAGCTCATCTTAATGGCCACTGGCCCGCTCTGGAGATCTATTAATGTCAGCCGAGGTCTGGTAAGAAGCTACAAGGCCACCCGAGTGGCGGCCAATCCCACTTCTAAGAAATCTCCACCCGTCCCAGAAGCCACGCCCCCTTTCAGGGTTGGCGCCCGCCACCCTCGTTTGCAGGAAGCTACATTCATTAAAGTATCTTCTTACAAGGACTGAGTCGTCCTCACCAAAGATGCCCATTTTTTAATTGAGATGTCAGAAGTAGCTGCCCAACCCAAGTCTTTGAGATACTCGTTTCAGGAAACATTGAACAGAAGTCTTCTTCCACCACCTGCCTGACGTCCCAAGGTAGAATATTCAGTCCCTAAGCTTTGCATACCACTGGCTCCTCTACAATCTTTCCACTGCTACCCTTGACAGTTCCTTCATCTGCAGATCCAGTCTTACAACTTCTTATCCATTCATTGCCAGTGGCGGCACTGAATGACAGATCTCTGTCCTATTTCGACTTATCTCCTTAAGAACCTTTTTGGAAAATATTTAACTTCCCCTGGGTGGAGAATCTGCATCCCTCCAGACATTTCTGGACTACAACTCCCATCAGTCCTAGGGCTAGGGCTGATGGGAGTTGGGAGTCCAATGACATATGGAGGATCCCCTCTCGCCCACCCAAGTTTCCCCAGGCTTAAGCATGCAGAAATGTTCCTTAGTGGATCTTCTGTTTGCAGCCTGATCCTGCAGATGTTTTCCCTCTCGGATGCAAGTCCTACATTTCAATGCAATTCTCAAATACATGTGCAGAGCAAGGTTTCCCAAACTTGGGTCTCCAGCTGTTTTTTGGACTACAACTCCCATCATCCCTGACCGCTGGTCCTGCTAGTTAGGGATGATGGGAGTTGTAGTCCAAAAACAGCTGGGGACTGAAGTTTGGGAAACCCTGGTGTAGAGCAGTGTTTCCCAACCTTGGGCCTCCAGCTGTTTTCGAACTACAATTCCCATCATCCCTGACCACTGGTCTTGCTAGCTGAGGATTATGGGAGTTGTAGTCCAAAAACAGCTGGAGGCCCAAGGTTGGGAAATGCTGGTGTAGAGGATGAAAATCACAGCATTCCCTTTCACCATCACCTTCCTTTCCCCCCATTGCCCTGCTTGGTTTCTGAGTTTCTCAGTGTGTTCATATATATGATTCAGTAATCATAAACCTAGTGGCGGTTTTCCCCTTCAAAATTTGCTTTAATTAAGAGCTGTGAAGCTGTGATGAATTCATCACTACTCCGGCATATTTGTTCATACATGAGGCTCCTCCTATCACAAAGTCCACAATGCTCCCCATGCTTGTAAAGTTAACACACCAAACTACTGCTTCTTACAGGAGGTAACACAAGAAACACTTTAGTTAAGCACAAAACATGTCCCATATTGAGAAACCCACATATCCAGCATCACCCAATCCCAGCTCACTTTACACTATGGACAAGCCACTTTTCAAACTATTTTAACTTTCAAAACAAGCCACCTCTTGAAGAATTGTTCAAGCATCACCTTTTTGCACCTATTTAAAATATGGGAATGTTTGATCCATTGGCTCATCACACAACTTTAAAATTACATCCCACCCCCCAATCTTGCAGCACAATTGTGGCCAAATATAAATGTGAAAAAATAACTTAAGCTTTCACACAGCTTTATTGACCAGGGCTGTCCAACAGGTCAGTCGCAATCTACCGGTAGAAAGCTCAACAACTCTGATCAATCCAATGGGTATTGAATTTATTTTGGATTTATGGGTATATGGAGTTTATTTATAGTGGGAGTAGATCACAGTCTCTTGGGAGCTGGACACCCCTGTTATAGACCACAAAATCCATGATGC